GGAACGCCCTTCCTACGGACATTAGACTAGCACCATCTCTAATGGTATTCCGCAAAAAGGTGAAGACCTGGATGTTTGTGCAGGCGTTTGAGTAATTTAGTGCAATCTGGTAATGGAACATAGGAATGGAACAATGGCCGACGAACCTGGACTACGCTTGGATGATGAGAAGATTGGGTACGGTTGTTTTTTGTAATAATTGTGCATTGTAACTGCTTATTGGTAATTTATGGATAATGTGTTAAGTCAATTGTTATATGTTGTATGGAACCACTGCTGTTTCTACTGTTTTTACTGTTTGTGAACCGCCGTGAGTCGCCTTCGGGCTTGAGATACAGCGGTATATAAGCAAAGTAAATAAATAAATAAATAAATAAATTTCAAAATAAAATAAAAGAAAAAACAAAAATACAGATGTGCAATTTGGCAAAAAGGGGGGGAAAACAACACACAGATAAATGGCCTGGGGGTCTAGGCAAAAGATGTTTGGGACGGCCAAAAAAGAAAAAAAAAAAAAAACAAATTGGTGCAATATTAAATAAAAGTAATATAAAGAACATCCGTTTAGATCAAGCAAAAAAAAAAAAAAAAATACATGGATAGAGAAAAAAATAAAATACACAGATTTGAATGTAAAAATGGAAAAAATGGCATTGTTCCATAACCGTTACTTCACCCATTCTCTGTGAAAGGGGGTAATTTAAAGAGTTGCTGTAATGTACAATTCATATTTAAAAAGTTGAAAGTGTTTGATTAGGAAAAAAAAATTAGAGATATAAGTAAAAAATAAGATGAAAAAAAATGATTCTTTAAATTTCGTGATAAAAAAAATTTGATTTTGTTGGTTGGTGTTTATGGTTCTGGTTTTTTAAGCATGTTTTCAATGGGGTATTTGAGTTTATAAAGAAATAGTCATATTAGTCTTGTAACCTAAAAGGAAAATTGGGGGGGGGGGGGAAAGGTGTAGGCAAAAAAAAAAGGGCTCTCAAGTGGATAGCTGCTGGTAAAAAGGAAGTAATATATGCCAGGTTATGATTGGGTTTTAAAATAAAGCAAAGGCTGTACAATGGGTTTATTCTGATGAGAAAAAAAATATAAAAATATGTAAAATAGGTGTGGAAAAGGAAACTGAAAATTTTAAAAGCAAGGATAATGCATTCAAATACGTAACGAAATGGCAGGAGGGAAGGGGAATTGGTGAAGGCAGGAGAATGAAGGAGGGAAATGGATGGGGAAAAATAGAAGGTAAAATGTAGGGTTTATTGTATACAATGAAAAATGGTAATGAAAATGGGAAAAAAATAATTTAAAAAGGAAAAATACATATCATGAAATCTTAGAAGCTGAAGGGGAAGGGTGTGAAGAAAATGGAAAATTGAGGAGGTATTGATCACATACAATGCACATAAACCAGTGATGGGAAAAATAAAAACAAACAGTATTTTACGGCGCTGGGGCGGGGCTTCGCGTACATACGTGAAAATGAGGAGTGGCGCAATTATGGGGGGCACCAGGAATTTCAACCACTTATCCTTACGAGTTAAGAAATTATAAAAAATGTCAAAAAATTGTAGTTTTTTTTTGTGTAGATTATTTTTGTGCAACTATTCTTGTGAATTGGAAATGCAGCATAATACTGAATATAAAGAAATAATACAGTGTTGAATATTACCGTTGATAGTGATGGTTTTTTAGGAGTACTAAGAAACCTGGTAATAGAAATCCTTTATGGAATATACTTTTTCTCAAACTTTGCAAATATGTTGCTTTTTCTTTTCTACATATGTGTAATGTGTGCTGATCACAGCATAATTTAATTGGAAAGCTTTAATTAAATATAAGCAAATAATAATAATAATCAAAATCCTAACGGCTGAAAGGAAGCATAGCACACACACATCAAGCCATTGAAAAGGAAGGGGAACGATAAAGAAGCGAAACAAACTTACTAACTATAGCAAGACTGCTCATAGCAAGGAATTGGAAAAAAGAAATGAATATACAAATAGAGGAGTGGTATAAGGAAACATGGAAAATAGCTTTAAATGACAAACTGACATGTATATTAAAGGTTAAAAAAGGTATATGGAAACAAAGTGATTTTGATGCTGTATGGGGAAAATTTGTGGTAAATGGATTAAAAAATAAGGAAGGAAAATTACCGTCACAAGAAGAAATGAAATTTTGGACAGATGAAATGTAAGAATGGTGGCTTGAGACGGGTGGAGGGGAGCACTGTGGTGAAAAAAGGAAAAAAAAAGAGAAAAGGGGGGGAAATGTCAAAGCAAAACAACTAAACAACATGTTAAAGAGGCTGATGTACAAAATGCAATAGTATGTAATAAATGTGATAAATCAATAAAAAAATTATTAAAAATAAATAAATAAAAATAAATAAATAAATATTAAAATAAAAATGTCATCATAAAAAATGTCAAAGCACCAACAAGTGTTCCAATCCAGGGGCTAAATAGGCAGTTCAGATGTCGTAATTCAGATTATTGTTATGATGTTAAAAGTTTCATGTTTAATATTGTTCAGGCATTTTATTATTTTTCTAATTTACATTAGAACTAACATGTTGGAAAGAAATAAGGCATTTGGCCATAAAGCTGTAATTGTTTCCAACTTTCTGCTTGATGCTCATTTGAGCCGTCTGTTTTTGTGTAGGACATTCAACCATGCATGTTTCTTCCAGACATATGTTGACAGACCAAGCAGATCTTTCCTGAATGTGAACTGTAATTTTCGCATATTGTTTCCTGCCATCTTTTAAAATTGTTTCATTGTCATTTAAATTGATGTTTTTGTTGTTTGTTTATTTGGCTTAAGGTCTGATTTTCTCTAATACCGGACCCAAATCAGCTCACAGATAAAAAATGGAAAAAACAGCACAAACTAGACAAGAAATGTTAAAGCCCCATAAAACACATTATAATATGGTATCGGCTGTTGTTTGGTTACAATCATACATATTATAGGTTTGGGGGGGGGGGGGGGAAGCAAATCAATAAAAAGTACGAAATTTATTTGTCCTGAGACTTAATTGTGATAGCTTGCATAGTGATGGTCTAAACCCAACAACAATGGTATTTTGTTGAAGGCTTTCATGGCTGAAATCACTGGGTTGTTGTAGGTTTTTCAGTGCAGGCAAAATGTCAGGAGAGAATGCTTGTAGAACATGGCCATATAGCCCCAAAAACGTACAACAACCCAACAATACTGTTAATAGTTTCAAAAATTAAATTATGGTATTAATTCTAAGTTGGGTATTTTAATGTTTTAATTGTATTCTTTAATGGTTCTTTCCCATGCCCTGTTTGTCTTTTAGCATTTCTTAATGAATGAGTGTGCTTTGACTTTGGGTCGGTGGGTGGTGGGGGCGGGGGAGGGGGCTCATCCATCCTATATTCAGCTGGGAGATTTATTTATTTATTTATTTATTTACGGCGCTTATATGCCGCCCTTCTCACCCCGAAGGGGACTCAGAGCGGCTTACAATATATATTTTCATACAATATATTATATTATTAGCAAAGTACAATATCAGTATATATTACTATATTGCACTATACCATTATATTGTAATATTATTAGTAATATTACATGTAATTAAATATATAATTATAATTATAATATTGAATTATTATTACTAGTATTATATTGTATTACATTATAATATTATAAATATTATATTTATAATATTTATAATATTATAAATATTATATTATTAGTAAAGACAAGATGGCAGTGTCTTCTGCTCCCTTCTGTCTTCTCTCTGGCCAGAGCAGCCGTTGGTGCCAGAAGAGGGAGGGGCCCTCTGAAGTGATGATATAGGCATTCCAGTTGTGAGTCTGAACTAGAGCAGATCCACTGAATAAAGGGATTTGCATGAGGGCTGACCTACCATATTGCAGTTGAATCGATGGATCTGCTTCTACTAAGACTAGCAATTGGATTTACCCCCTAGGTTTCTAAAGTGAAGTAATTTCAAACTGGATATAGCAGATCCTTGAAATAGGATACTATGGGGATATTGTTGTTACCCTATAAAATATTTAGGTAATATCAAGATGTTTTAAATGTCAGAATATAAAGAGGTCAGGCCGTTCTTGTCATGCTTTTGATGTGTGCTTCTCATGAGAGCCTGTATGGTATAATGGTTTGAGGACTGGATTAGGACTTTGGGAATTTAGGATTCAAACCCTAACTTGGCTATGGGAAGCTACAGGGTGACTTTAGCCAAGTCACATAATCTCTGCTTAAAAGGAAGACATTGGTAGACTTCCTCTGAAGAAAGCTTGCCAAGAAAACCCCAGGATAGTTTCACTTTCGGATTGCTATAAATCAGAAAATGACTTGAGGGTGAACATCATTAACAACATACATTCAAGAATCTTGTGGCACCCAGATGCTGTTGGGATTATAATTCACAGCATTCTTCACTAATGGTTAGTGAAATATCAGTAATATCAGTAATAATAGACCTAACTAATATCTAAAAAGAAGGACGTAAGAAAATTGTCAGCAATCAGGAAAACGAAGAAACAGACTCTATACTAAAGGATAAAGACTCTTGGAAGACCCTGGGAAGTCACAACACAGATGGAATATGGTGGTGGGCTTTTTTTTCCTTGTGTGCCGCCCCTCTTTTTCTACCCCCCCCCCCAGATCCCCCTCCCCCCCTCACTCCCCCCCCCTTCTGTATTGTAATTGAACTACAAAACTAATAAAAATTTATCCAAAAAAAATGGTTAGGACTGCTGAGAATTGCAGTCCAAACACATCCATTGATCATCCTGCTCCAGACAGTCAAAACATCCGGGCATTCCCTGGGCAACATCCTTGCAGACAGCCAATTCTCACACCTGAAGCGACTTGCAGTTTCCCAAGTCACTCCTGACACGGAAAAAAAAAAGAATAAATATGGATGTTACAACAACCAATGCAAAATAGCAATTCTGCCACCTCTGATCCAATTTCTTTTCTGTCTCCTGTAGGTAGTTGCATTTTGTGATGTGGATAGAAATAAAATTGCAAAAGGATTTTACACTTACGAAGACTCCAAGGTGGGTGTTAGTCCTCCTGATCCACAAATGACCCGAGAGTCCACCAGTGGACCATGATGCCTGAATCACTGGGGATGGGCAGAAGTTGGGAGAGGAGTCATAGAGTCTTCATTCAAAGTGCCTAATATTGCAATCAGTCAGTGCACCTGGTTTAAATATTGCAGAGTTATTAGATTTAATATCAAAGTAGTCTGAGTGACCTGCTTTGTTTTGGCTGCAAATGTGAAATGGCTGTGCAACGTGAATGCATTTGTCAATGGCATAGCTCTTGGAGGAGAAAAAGAGAATGGTAAAGAACCTTGTGACAGATGCAGAATTACGCCATCTAAAATCCTGATTTTGGATAGAAGAAGCAAAGACTTCTGTAGCCTTTATTAAAAACTGCCTTTTTTTCATTTTGACCTTGCTAGTTAAGAAGCTAGAATCCCATTGTGTTTTTGTGTGTGCATGTTTTAAAGCAAAGTTTGGCTTCTGGGGATTCAAAGCCCAGATGAACCAAATGAGCAACTGAGCCAGAATCTGAGAAAGGCAACATGAGGGATAAAACAATGCACAGCCTGCATTATTGCCAACTGGGGAAATGTCTATGCCAGCTAACATTTCATCTTTGTAATATGACAATTGTTTTCAAATTAATGGTTGGCTTCCTGCCACTGACTTAAATAGCCTCTCTAAAAATGAAGAGTTGGGGGGGGGGCACAGTTTTGTGTGCCACAGTAGAATGAAGGACTTTGTTGGGTTCCTGGGCACGGCGAACTGGCACGCTTCGGCCTCCTTATGAATGGCTGTCACCTTGTGCGAACGCAAACACTAGCAGAAGAGAATGAAGCCTTTCGTGTGAAAGATCTTCCCTTTGAAAGGCTCTGCCTTAGAAATACAAAATGGAGAGGAAAGAACAGGAAGCAAAACTCAATTTTCAAATAGAACATGACCCACTGGGAAGTTCAGTTCCTGCTGTTTTTTATTTCGATCCCTCTGGCAGAACAACACTTCTGAATGCAAGACTATAAAATTAATACAGTGGAAGAGGGAAAACAGAATAGTTGGGGGGGGGGGGGGTTTGTGGATCGGCTTCTTACATGCCAGTAAATTATATCAGTGGAAAAAGGAGGGCTCCGTTACTGCTGACATTAATGGGGAACTTTGATACTCATTTATGAGGAGATGGGGCTTTTATTCTATTCATACACAGAGGCCAAAGCAGCTTTTCAAAGGCAGTGGGAATTTTTTTGCAGATATAACTTCTATCTCTTTAATTTTGTAAAATGGTAACAAACACCCTCTGCTCTTGAAATGGCACTTCTTGAAATTGTGTTTTAAGAGATTCCCATGAAGATGAACCAAGAAGCAAAACTATCTTACGTTCTGACAGTGAAACAGCGAGACTCTCAAGTACCAAAATCAAACTCTTTGAGAAATGTCACCATTCTGTAGGCAGCCATGAAGTAGCGAAAATAAAGGTGTTTCTTTCTCTCTAGGAAATCCCCAAACCCAGAATTCCTGTCTTACATTTCAGAGATGCTTCACCACCTTTCATTATTTGTGTAAAACTGGTGAGTATAATTTCCAGGTCTGGGTACAACCATGGGAAATCCACATTAGTTTAAAAGTTTTCCCGCATTTTTCAAGAAAGCTCTTTTTGCAGATATTAGCAACATTGCTGAAATTTCACCTCAAACCACTGTTTAAAGTTCAGTTGCAAACTGAGAATTCCATTTTAAAATTAATATGAAATGCTCATTTAAAAAAATGTTATTTAAAAAAAGAATTTGTACTTCGACGTTGAAATTAGGTGCTGCAATTTGCGCTTAGGCTTAGCAGTGTTTGTGGGAGAGAGATCATAGAATCATTGAGTTGGAAGAGACCTTGTGGACCATCCAGTCCAACCCCCTGCCAAATAGCAGGAACAATCGCATTCAAAGCAGCCCGGTCAGATGGCCATCCAGCCTCTGTTTAAAAGCCTCCAAGACAGCGCCTCCACCACACTCGGGGTCAGAGAGATCCACTGTTCTTCCTCGTGTTCAGGTGGAATCTCCTTTTCCTGTAGTTTGAAGCTCTGTGCCCTAGTCTCCAGGGTAAAAGAAAACAAGCTTGCTCCCTCCTCCCTATGACTTCCCCTCACATGGCCCTCATCATCTCTCCTCCCAGCCTTCTTTTCTGCAGAATAAACATGTTAAACCGCTCCTCATAGGGCTTGTTCTCCAGACCCTAGTCGCCCTCCTCTGGATATATTCCAGCTTGTCAATATCTCTTTTGAACCGTAGTGCCCAGAAATGGACACAGTATTCCAGGTGTGGTCTAACCAAGGCAGAATATTGGGGTAGCATGACTTCCCTGGATCTAGACAGTATACTCCTATTTATGTAGGCCAAAATCCCATTAGCATGACATTGTTGACTCATGTTTAATTTGTTGCCCACGAAGACTCCAAGATCTTTTCCACACATACTGCTGTCGAGCCAGGCATTGTCCCCCATTCTGTATCTTTGCATTTCGTTTTTTTCTGCCTAGGGAGGGAGAGAGAGGGTAAGCAACTGGCACTGAATCCACCCAACTTGTCAATGTCTGTCTTAGAATATTGCCAAGAATTTAAATTTTATATTACACCACGGAAGCTCACTATTAGAATCATTCACTTTGGTATAGGTGGCAATCACTTATAGAGAACAATTTGGGTTATTTAAAATGCAGCTTAGCAAAGGTTAACACGATGCACAATTTTGATTACATTCTATTAATATCTAAAGGCCTGTCACAGAGGACAGGAGCAGGTCTAATGGCTTTAAATTACAGAAGAGTGGGCTGAACATTGGAAGGAATTTCTTGATAGTAGAGCTGTACAGCAATGGAATCAGTTCCCTGAAGGGTCTGTGATATATCTTTTTCTGAACGCCCTCAAAAAGGGGCCGGACAGATCCCTGCTGGGGGGATACATTAGCTCAGTCTTTCCCAAATTGGTCTTCCAGGTATCTTGGACTTCAGCTTCTAGAATTCAAGATAATTGGAAAATGCAGCTGAGGCTGGATTTACACTGCTATATAATACAGTATCTGATCCCAGATTATCTGCTTTGAACTGGATTATATGAGTCTACACCAGTTAAAATCAGATAATCTGGGATCAAAAAACTGGATTATATTACAGTGTAGGTCCAGCCTGAAGTTTTTAGGTGTTGAAGTCATAAAAGTTTTGGGATCATTGTTTTACCTTTCCTACGCTGAGCGAGGGCAGTTTGGACTCAATGGCCTTTGGGGTTGATGATTTTTATGAATTCATCCTGTCCTGCCATTGCAAATTCACCTCCCTCCTTGGTTAAAATGACCCCTGGAGGAGCAAAATAACTTCTGCAGAAATGTTGAATCTTTGTGAAGACACGTACCAAGTTTCAAGAGTCATCGGGTACACAAAAGGGACAATAGTTACCACCTAGGTTAGGCAGTGCGGCCCCAGCGTCTGCTCCATTCTTGTGAAATCTGGACAGGGGAGGGTGGCGCATACCAGCTAGTCTAACCCTTGTCCTGCACTGTGAGAAAAGTGCCTGGGTGGGAATCCTGAAGCCTTCCAGATGTTGTTGGACCACACCTCCCCTAACATTCCTCACAATTGGCTCTGTTTCTAATGCATCTGAAGATGTGAGCTGTGGCCCAAGAAAGTTTATGATGCAGTCTTAAAAGTTGACATGAGATTACTTTTTCCTTCTCCTTTTAAACAGAAAAAGGCAAAGACAGCCACTTCTTTCCAAATTGTTACTTTGTCAACATCAGATTGTATTTTTCATTCTGAAATGTAATGTAAAAGTGAGCAAGCGAGAAATGTTATTTCCAGAGGTCTGCAGAGTTTCGTGGAGAAATTATGCTTAGAAAGCATATGTTGGTCGTAAATATGATGTTAGGTGAGGGGACAGTTGGTTATTGGACAAAATTAGAAAGCCTTGCAATTGGAAGAGAATAATAGTGAACCCATTGCTTTTTAAGTATTTGAAAGATCTAAAAGTCATTCTTTGGGCACTGCACGAGTCAGTAAATTCCCCTTTAAGAAATAGTCCAGACCTGCTGAGTGACTTGCCAACTGGCAATAGCTTTCTTCTGTTTCCCCTCCATTCTCAGTCTGGCTTTGCATCAGGCTTGATCTGAAAACCTCACCCAGCTTCTCTTCTGCATCCCCTCACCATTAAGAAAAATGGATTGTGGTTTCTAATGCTTGGGGTAAAGTTCTTCCACTGCTGTCCTGACGGCAGAGGAAATGGTTTCTAAACTGGCTGGAACTTGCTTAGAGAAGCTGAACTCTTGTTGCTCTGTGGTGATATTGTGCAGACTAAGGATAAATCCAAGGATTCAGACTTTGAGGTATTTCTGGTCCCCGTGAACTTTTGCTTTAGCACAAGCTGCGTATGAAAGAGGAGATGAAAAACAAATCCACTGAGCTGCTATGTATTTAATTTCCCTCAAATATGAGCCCTTTACCCGCTCCAGGGCTCTGCTAACAGTCCTGCAGAGCCCTGGAAATGGAGGGAGATCCATTATACTGAGTCCTGCAGAAAAATGAATTGGCTGTTGAGGGAAGAAGGAGAGAAGTATCCCATAGACAGACTTACGAAACCAGAGTCAGTCCTGTGATGTTGTGATACAAGCATCAAAGCTATTGTAGGTCCTATATAGCATTAGCATTGGCATCATACCCAGGAAGTGGCAAAGCAATAGTTCTGTAACTGGTCTGCCCAATACAGGTAAGTCCTGATTTGTATGGCTGTGTCCCTTCTGGACACCACAATTCAAGAAACAGGCTGACAAGTCTAGAAGAATTTTGAAGCTCTCAAAATGGTAATGCACAAATAAATAATATCTGGGAGATAGTAAGCCTATCATAGAAATGCAAATGAAAAAGGAGACAGGGTTCAAATATGTTGCAAATACATCAGAAGAGTGTAGCAGGAGGGGAATTGTTCTGAGTCCCTTGTGGTTCTCATGAGAAGTGAGATTACAGGAAGGCAGGTTAAATTCTAGGAAATAAAATGTAAACTGTTGAACTGTGGAGCAATGAAATACGGGCTTGGGAGCATCTCCCTGCTCCCTTGATGTCTATAAAACACAAAATGAACTAGCAAGGAAGCAAAAACTGGCTGCTATCTTGGGTATCTTGCCAAGGAGCAACCTGGATTCCAGTTAAGCTCAAGCGTTCATTTTATGGGACATGGAACGTGACACGTGTATGACCATAGGTGGAAAAACTTATTTGGATAGGCCTGAAATAGGAATGTTTTTCAAATTATTTATGGTATATGTTATAATTGCAGTTTGGCACACTTAAACAAATTGTCACCAGATTTTGCTTAGGTAGATCATCCAAAGCTATCATTTACTCACTGTCATTCAGGACCTCATCAGATGGCCTTTTGTAAGGGGGACAGCGGGGAAAATCATGAGGCAATGTAGGGAACCGTCTCTGCGTGTTCCTTACTGTCAGAATCTATGGCATCCCTTCCCACAATGTTTCCCTGCTGACCCCCACTTCCTCTTTGGCTCCTCTAACTTTTTTCTATGAAGGGTCAGGTGTATACCCGACTCCTCTGGGCTCCACTGCTGCAATGGTGCCGGCATGGAGCCCCACAGTGTCCCACCGGTAGTAACCCTGCATCATGTGATGGGCTCCGTGATGCCAGCAGCGGAGAGAAGTGGGGAGAAGATGCTTTACTCTCTCCCAACAATGAGGTTGCAAGTGTCCCGATTAACACACAAGTTTTAGGAAATAAAATGTAAAATGTTGAGCAATAGAGTCAGAAACACTTCTATATGACAGAGCTCCTTAGTGGGTAGATGGAGCAGGTGGATGATGCCACTTGAATGTCACTCACCAATTGCATGGGATCTCAACCTGTCAGCACATATTATACAGCAGATAAGACTTGTTTTCTTACAAAGCATGCTTTGTGATGGCAATCATTGGGGAAGATTCCATTTTAGGCACGTGATGGCTTACTTTGCAAGCAGGAGATACTGAGATAATTCGATGATCACTTGGTGGAAGAAACTTTTAGCTGTGGAGATTTCAGAAGGAGTCTGGCTTTGAAGAATCTGCTTGGCCAGGGTGACTAACTTTCCAGGAACAAGTATCTGTAACTTTCAGACCTCTTTCCTCTGAAATAATTGGTCTGCCACAGAAGATGATGTGTGAGGATGCAAGAGGCAGGCTCTTCTTTAACCTTGTATGGCTGGAAAGGCTTGGATGTTTGCTTTGGAAAGACTTAAGACCCAAGGGTGGAACTGCCGCATTTGCCTGCTGTGGAGCGCACCTTCCCTCCTGCAAGCTGCTCCTGGCCAGCTTGTTTTGGCATTCTCTTGAAAGTCTTAGCTGGCAAGAAGAAAGAACTGCCCAGTCTGCTCCCCACTGGGTATTTCAGTATAAAAGCATGTGGATGCAAAAGACTGGATCAAGCAAAGAATGTTGCTCTCTGCGTGCCATTGTGTGTTTTTCCGTTAAAGCCTTGTGAAGAAAAAAAGTATATATTTTCTGTTGACAGTACTTAATCCAGTTTGAGTTTGCAGTACCACTAAGCTTTGATATTTTTTGTATTTGATCAGATTCAGGAATAGAAGTACACAGTCCTCAAAGGCACTCCTTGTTCAGCTCTATTTCTATACAGTTTCTTTAAATATTCTTCCAGTTGGCAAAGTTTTGGTGGTTCTAGCACTTTGAACAAAGTTGTCAAAGATGAATGGCAATTTTGTTGTACTATATTCATTGCATTGCATTTTTACACCAATATAGCATTGGTGGAGGGCAACACTTGAGTAAACTAGAACCTAGTTAGTCTATCGGTTTATATGATTTCTATCCTGCCTTTCTCTTGACATGGAACCCAAGATACCTTCTGAAATAGAGTAATCATGTAAAACATAATAATGACAAGTTAGGAAAAGAAATGAACAAGATGTCCTATTAAAATACTAATAGTTTTAAACAGTAGAAAAGCATTTCAGGGGGAAAATAAGGAAGTATTTCTACACAACCAATTAATTGCCAAATGCCCATGTGAAGTGAGGACTTGGACAAACCTCGTTGGTTTCAGTCAATCATAGCTCATGGAAAGTTGATACACAACTTAGTCTTGTCTCTGACAGAAGGCAAGTAAGGGGAAGATGGCCTAGAGATAAGGAAAAGCTGTTATGGAGATAGGACAGTCAGCTGAGGGAAGAATTGAATAGCATCTTGTAGAGCTGTGAATGATTCAGGGATTAACATTTGACCTAATTGTGCATTGCTAGGCTGAACAGGGCATAGGGTTACAAGGCTGTGTTGGGATTGGGGTGGCCAATTTCCCCCTGGAAAGACGCAGGTCGGCCGCTTGGGTGTGAACCCTGGGACTTCATAAGTGAAAGGGGCATGGGACACCCCACAGGTTTCTGGCGGTGGGGAACCAGGGAAAGATTTGCACATCTAAAGCTCGTTGTGCCAGCTTGCGCCCGTTACCTTGGGAAGTCTTTGGACTTGGGCCCACGGGTAGTCAACGCTTGGTTACATGTTACCGGGTTGTAGGGGACTTACTTGCAAAACGGGGCTCTCTATGTGGGGTTGCCTTTGTAGGGGGTTGCCTTTGAAGACAGCTCGGAAGCTCCAACTAGTCCAACACTCGGCAGCCATGATTTTAACAGGAGCGGAGCGCAGGGAGCATACAACCCCCCTGTTGCGCCAACTCCACTGGCTACCGATCTGCTACCGGGCTGAATTCAAAGTGCTGGCGTTGGCCTTTAAAGCCCTAAACGGTTCCGGCCCAAGCTACCTATCTGACCGCATCTCTGCCTATGAACCCACCAGGACTTTGAGATCTTCCGGGGAGACCCTGCTTTCGATCCCGCCTGCTTCTCAAGCTCGGCTGGCGGGGACGAGAGATAGGGCCTTCTCGGTGGTGGTTCCTCGGCTGTGGAACGCCCTTCCCATGGACATTAGACTAGAACCATCTCTAATGGTATTCCGCAAAAAGGTGAAGACCTGCAGGCGTTCGAATAATGAGTGCAATGATTGGTTAATGAACACTGGAATGGAACAATGGATGACGAATCTGGATCATGTTTTTGAGGATGAGACAATAATGAATGGTTATTGTAGTAATTGTTTATTAACTGTGTAATGTGTTAGATTGTTAACTGTTTTTATACTGTAGCATTGAATTTTTGCTGTTCTTGTGTGTTGTGAACCGCTGTGAGTCGCCTTCGGGCTGAGAACAGCAGTATATAAGTAAGGTAAATAAATAAATAAATAAATTTATTCTTGTTTGGAACTATCTCTGATTGATCCTGTTTGGTTTTGATATAGACCAGTTATATTTAACTTAGCAAATCCACTGGACAACTCATCATTGGTCCATGTAGGGATCAACTTAAGACCCAAGTACCAGATCCAGGGAAAGATATAGAGGGGGAATAGGCAAGGTGGATGACAGGAGCTCAAGGGATTGGCCTATGGATATGTCACAGTTTTTAATAATGGAAGGAGAGCAGAAAGGAAAGAGTCCTAGCCTCTGGTGGAAGAGAATTTGAAGCCTAGAAGTAGCCATCAAGAACTCCTTCCCAAATGGCTTGCAACAATGATGGGGATCCTTGCCAATTCCTCATTTGCTGTTTGTGTCCTTTTCAGTCTGATCTGCCTCTTCAGAACGATGACTATGGAGAATGCAGTTAAATATTGTATCATGTACAGGATGACATATGAGTTCAAGACTGAGACAACCCTGATCCAGATCTTAGTCCAGGCATGAGCGTACTGGCAAACTATCCTATCTCAGGTCCTCAACTGTACTAAGAGGGGTAATAAAGGCATCTTTTTGGGAAGTTGTTGTAAGGATTAGTGACAGATAGCAGGAGAAACGTTTTGAACACTGGTAGAAGTAGAGTGTAAATACTAAGTATTACGTACATCCATTCTTCATACACAGAAGCAGAAGTTTCTTTGTTGTTACTAATCTAAATAATGGAGTATTGTTTGAGGCTAATCCCACTGGAAACATCAATTAAAAGAGCTCTGAAATTAAAGGCTTAAAATAAATGCTGAAGTTGACAGTGATGTCACCTGCTTTTCTTACCAACTGAAACTTGGACATGATACAAACTGTACATGATACAAACTTGGAGGGGCGGAGGGAGCTCATTATTTTATAGTACAGGATGGGTGAATAAGCATAATGTTCCTCTTTATACAACAAATAGCATTTGTAGTAATCGCTTGCAATCAGAATTAATATCCTGGCTCCTTGAAGAAAAGGCAAAAGGTACTCATCATGCAAAATCCACCAACTCACCAATGCATTGAGATGTCATCACTATTCTGTTTAGGTTGCTTGGAATACAGTGTCAATGAATGAAGAAAAATGCTCCAGTCAGGGATTAATGGATTTATTTCAAGGCAGTCCATTTACATGACTGAACAGCACCAGGATCACTTAGTTTTCACTGGCATCGGTAAACTCCATGCCTGTTGCCTTCAGTTCTTACTGCTTTTTACACGTTCAATTACAATTATTTTGATCAACATCAACAAAATTTCTATTGGTTATCTCCTTGCCATTGCTCAGGCACTTGGAGCTATCAAACTGATTCGCCTTACATGTGCTCCAGCATAAAGTCTGCATTGAATCTGAAAATTGGGTTATAGTGCAATGTAGATGTCTTGGCATGTGCTTTTCCCTGTTATGCAGTTAGGAGTCTCCTGAGACATTTTGTTTAAGGGTGGAGATGAAGAGCAATATGTATTGTTCGAACTAAAGGTTTTTAAGGCTCTCAGAATTTTTGTGCTAGCACAATGTGTGTATGTTTGTTGTTGTGTGCAAGCAATTTCTGACCTATGGCGACCCTAGGGGTTTTCTTGGCAGAATTTGTTCAGAGCAGGGTTTCAATTGCAACTTGTCTAAGGTCAAGTGATGGGTTTCCAAGGCTAAGCAGGAATTTAAATCAAGTCCTTCCAGTGTACTAGCCCAACACCCAAACTACTCTAAGATGTTGACTCTCAGGTTAGGCTTGAAGAGAATCAAGGGAACAATTGTTTCCAAGAGCAGATGAACAGTTTGCTTACCGATACCTGTGGTTCTTTGAGTAGTCACCTCTGCCTTCACACAAATGGGGTTTTGCACCTGTGCAGAGACTCCATTGGGGTTTCTAGAGCCAAGTAGCATGGCAGGAATCCTATCACATTCCCATAGTACCTCCCCCATCCTAACCCACCAAGCTACTATCCCCACAATTTTGAACTGATCGGGGCCGAAAAGAAATGAGGGAGAGTGGGTTCATGTGAGGTGCCTGTTAGACAGCAGAATTTATGACTGTAAGGAGTTGCTGAAAGTGGGTAATCTCCGTTTCAGTCAATTCCTTCCTCAGTAAAGCATCTCCTGAGGTTAGGGACCAGAGCATTACGGATTCCACAGTTTGATGATTTCCCCTTTTTGCTAGTGTTCTGTTCCCTAACCTGTTGACTAAGTGGGGGGCACCTGTGATAAACTAGGTCAAGCACAGAAGTACAGAGAGAATATGCACAATAATTAGGGCTGGAGCCATCTTTAATTAACAAGGCAATCTACTTCTTCCTTCCTGCAGGATCTGACAGGTGGACAGTTTGAGGAAAATCTGAAGCTGTTGGAATTGAAAGAAGGAATGGATTATTACCATTTTAACTGAAGCACACTGGAAAATGTTTCCTTGGAAAACAGACCACAAAAACTGTATGGGTTTGATGTTTACAGAATAATAATGGCAACAACCCCTGCTTCAAGATGCCTTTCCCCTGAAAACGCAAGTTACTCTGTTTGTAGCTGAATGCATGGGCACCCCAAGAGGGTCACAGCAGGAAGCAGAATGACAGCAAATATATAGAATATATAATCCTTGAAAAATCTCTTCTCTACTTTTCTTGTTATTGTATAGTGTGGCTTCCCAATTTTAATAAAAGGAATTGAAGGACATTGTATCTTCCTCTGGGGTGAGGAATCCTTGACCTTCAAGATGTTTTAGACTTCCAGTTCCTGGAAACCTCAGAGACCATAAATAGTGATAAGGGGTTAGGAGGACTTGCCCAAAACATCTGGAGGGCCAAAGATTTATTACTTTTGTCTTGGAGAATCAGGGAGGACCAGATCCTGCTAGTTGATCTATTATCACTTATGGTGGGGGAGGTTGAAATACTGTAGACAAGTCACCATCTTGCTCCAGATGTCCAGTGAACATTCTGCCTCCCCTTTGACATAATCAAAGCCAGTTGTTATATTTTTAATCTCATCTTATAACCAAGTCAAGGCATTTTTCAACTTTCGTCACTTTACACAATCAGTCTGGTGGTGGTGTGGCAAAGCCAATTCTCTTTGCATTATTTGTCAGAATGAAATGCAGCCCCATAAATTCCAAGTGGTGCTTTAACAACCTACAGGGAGTCAAGAAGACTCGAGGGCCGCACACTTTCCCCAGCATTGGCAGGAACAGCTGGGCTCTCCCACAAATAAAATCTGTCACGCTTTGTGATGCAACTGGTTCCTATGTAGGGGTTTAAGAGGCCCCACGTTAGAACATCCTCTGGCAGGATGAGAAGCAGGAGCTTTACAACTGGAACATAGTTTGTAATAAAGATATATAAAACCAGCCTCCATGATGCTTTTGCCTTAGGAGCAAGAAATTCACCAGGCAGTTATAGTATACTCTTCTTCTGTTGTATTGAAGTTGGCTGTGATAATGGTAAAAACTGTACATATTCTAACTAGAGCTTCCTTTTCATCAGATGGTCAAAAGGGCAGTATAACATCACTAAAATGAAAAGCCTGCAAGGGGAAATCACACTTAATCGTGCTGACTGTTTTATTCTGCTTCTGTCATATACTGCATTTGCATCTTTTGCATGTTTTAAGAAACATTATGTGAGAGGATTGTATATTTTTCTAAGTACTGACATACCTACAATAAATCAAACAAGTTGTATTTCCTGTTTTTAGAGGTGGTATATTTCCAGCTTTCCAGTCAAAACCCCACCACTGCTCTAGGGCTGGGATCACACAGGACGAGAACACTAGCAGTCCCTTTCCTGTCTTTCCCTTTCCCTTCGCCCCCTTTTCCTTTTCAAAAGCAAAGCTGCTGGAGTTGTGGCTTGGCTCTTTCTAAAGAACAGCTGACTGAGCAATGCCTAACTTGCTTTGGCAAGTACCGATTGCTTCACTAGCATGTTCTATATTTCATTGTAAACAGGACAAACAGCTCGGGAGAACAGAATAGATAAATCGTAGTTTGCACTGCCCAATAGATATTTTAATTCAATTTTGAGAAAGAAACACAAAATATCAGTGATTGGTATGCATAACAAATTTCAACGACAAGAGAAAATTATGTGTGCAAACTGCCATCTTGTGGCTACAGACATGGAAATAGTACTAACAGACTTAAGTTTAGTTAACAAAAAAAAAATCTGTTTTAAAAGAAATCCTCCATTATGCACAGAGCTTCCAAAAGCAGGCCTGTGGGGCTGTCACTTGTTCTCTTTCACCTATTCACACCCTACAGTTGCTCAGGTTGCCAAGTCAAAATCTGCTTTCTCCTTTGGATGTACAGATTTTGGGAATCTTCATTGTCAAAGTCCACGAGTTTCCAGTTATTTTTTCTGCAGAAGCCAAGCAAAAGAAAAAGAATTGTAGTTGAATTTCATGATATATTTAATAGATAGTTTGAAAATAAAAGAGAATATTATTGTTGTTTCTACAGTTGTTTCTACAGTTGTTTCTAGGTGGATAAAAATTAGTTATTTACAGGTTTCTATAACCCAAGTTTCCTTTTTAAAAAGCCATTTTGGTTCTAGAAGTATGGTGTAATGAATGAACTATTACTGCAATCCATAACACACTTCTCTGTTTCCAAATAAACTGTGTCTTGTGCATGGCTTCCTGAATGTCGCTGTGATTGGGCCAATGCGCAGGAATGGTCCATGCATCACTGGACGCTATCCCTCGTGAAACAGCTTTTCACAATCCCAAAACAACTGGAGCTTTTAAAAATGAACTGTTTGTTTTTAAACAGCCTGATGTTTAAATCTTTCAGACCACTTTTCTTTATTAGACAAAACAATAACTCACAAGAATACATGTTTACTTGATGAAAACAAATCTAAGTCTTCCCTCACAATCGAGATCAAGAGACTCAGTAAAAGATACAGTCTAAATTGTTTTTTTTTCCTTGTAGGGTTTAACAAGGCATTGTGTATTTTTTATCCATATGCCCTTGTGAAATGTGAGCTCTGAGTTGAATAGTATGGCATAGTGTCATGTAGTCCCTCTGCAAAAAACTGGTACTAGGAAACCAAACTGCTGTGAGCATTCCTCCAGTTCATGCAGAGAGAAGTCTTCAAATAAAACTGAAATACAGATGTGCCTGTCATTCTGAGATCAGAGGAGATGGTTTTCCAACCTTTTTGTTAAAAGAAAAAAGAAAATGCAGGACTCAGCAGTTAAATTTAATGGTGGCATTTTAGCTGCAATTGGTATTCCTTCATCACTTTGGTAACCCTAAGGAATTTTACTGATTCCAGAGTAAAAGAAAACAGAATGACACTGGAAACAACCAGCACCAGAACCAACTTCTGGAACCAACAGTTCCAGATCTGGGGAGCCACAGGATTTCCACCCTGTTCTCACTGGAAGACTTCGTCTTCATGGAACGTCTGTATAGGCTGCAGTATTGTTAAAAATCTGGCTTTAATAAGCCATGTCTTACCTCTTCTTTTGTGTTTCCATGGTTAATTAGGAAGAAATAATTACTTAACCTTCTGTCTTTTGGTACAAATAAAGTAGAGACCTAAAAGATGCTGTGGTATCCACATTTTCCTGTAAAAATGCAGAGTGGAAATTCTGATTGCTCCTTTCCACAAAGGCCACTTTGGGAGCCAGTTACACTGCATTAATTGGTGCTCCCTGTCTAGAAGCCGAGCTCCAGAGGACTGGCAGGGTTTCAAGGAGTGGGATGGGAGGGAGGACGCCCTACAGCCCTTGCTTTCTGGCAGTGCTAAGCTTGAAAAGGAGGGCTTGAAGCATGAGGTTATAGAACTCTACATTAAGATCATAGGCTTCACTAGATTTGAGATATATCGATATCTGTAGATAAATATATCAAATATAGTGAACTCTATTTTTAAAATATAGGGTTCTTTAATGTTATGCTTCAAGCTCTCCTCTCATCCATCCATCCATCTCTCACATATACTGTATATACATCTATGTTGCGCTCAAGATTACTCTTCAAAATATTCATGGTGAGTTAAGGGGAACTTGTGAATATTACCTTGGTTACCAATTGTGGTTTCGGCACTTTCATTAAATCACATAAGTAGTTACGCTGCTTCCTCAGCAATGTCAGGTCTGTGTCCCTGTTTGGAGAGTGCGACATAAATTATTACACAATATTGGATTAAGAGCTTGTAGTGGGTTTCTGAATCTCTTCCATCAAGGGAAAAGAAGGGAGGGGGGCAGTCCACAAACAACTCAAGCAGAGGAATGTCCTTGCAGCTATCTTCTAGCAGCCGGTTGCTCTGAGTTTGTCCTGCAAGCAACATCAGAAACATCTGCGTGGCAGGAGTGGCTTCCAATCCTATCTCTGTCACCTTCTCTAAGCTTAACTTCACTAAATTGTGCCTATGGGCACCAGTTCATCTTTTCTGGGGAATAAAAGACCCTAACCATGAGTTTCTGCCACTCCTCCTTGTAGGACTGCTATTTGCCCCCTTATCAGTGGCAACAGGTCCTTAAGGATCAGAGTAGTAAGAGCAGGAGAGCTGGGGAAAGGCTTTAACATATAATTTATCAGCATATTCCCTTGTCACCAAGATATTAATACATCTTTCCAAGTATAAAGGGGGCAAGGCACAAATGTTTTAAATATCTATGCAAACATAGTTCTACTTCCCTCTTATATATGTTGCCTATTGAGCTTTTTAAGCAGAGGCTGGATGGCCATCTGTCGGGAGTGCTTCAATTGGAAGAATTGGGTTGGGCTGGATAGCCCTTGGGATCTCTTCCAACTCTATGATTATACATTTAAGTTTAGATTCTTGTCAGTTTTAATTTATTTAATACCTTTTGTCTATTTCCAGTTGTGACATTCACATATATGCCCGGTGTTATCTGTAGTCCCACACAGAGGACTGAATACTATCAATTGGAGAGTCAGAACAATCTTGCCTGCGGGGTTGGACTAACTCACCAGTTGGTGTCGCTCAAAATTGTCATGACCTCTTCAATAACATCTGGTTCAGCAACATCGCTGTAGGTGATCAGCATTTCATAAACCTGACTGGCTGTCGTCGTCCTAATCTAGAGACAGGAAAGGGACAGCCTTGCAGTTCCTCAAAATACACACTTTTGACAATTGCATTTTGGCAAAGCAGCACAGGAATTGCATAGGCAATGCTCTGAATTTTCTTAGTCCCGGCTAGAGCAGACCCACTCAAACCATTAGATATATCTGTGTATTACCAATGAAGAAATGATTGGAGAGTCTCATTTTAGTTTGAACTCATCAAAAAAGGGGTCAACTAACCTGCTTTTGAATTATGCAGGTTCAGAAAATAAATGTGAACTTTTAAAGAGGAACATTTTTTTCTGTTTAGATAAATGGGATTAGGATAAATAATGAAAGCAATTTTCAGGAAACAAAGCGGCCAATTTATGATAAATGGAAAAAATGCAAATAGCATTTTAAATGCCCTTTAAATGAACATTTGGAAGACTCTCTAACAAGCAATAAGGACTGAAATCACTTTCAGGAAAAAGCCTGGGGAAAAAATCTGCAGCACCTTTCATTCCCAAATGGTCAGACTTTGGAAACTGTCCTTGATGGAAAAATTGTCTAAGAACCCATAGTACAAAAAGATAATTTGAAACTGTGTAGTATCTTTTTCGTCACATTTGCTTCAAACATGAACTCTCGCCATGACCTCCATCAAAATATGTGCCAACTTGGACTGAGACGCTGTAACTTGTTACTTGCTGCTAAGATTAACTGAATAGACTTTGTAACTATATATGTGTAATTAATAACATTGTCTCATAGTTGTGTTACCTAAATAAATAAAAAGAAGAATGAGAAGCCAAACATTTCCAATACTTACAACTAGAAATGGGTGACAAAGGAGGAGGAAGAGCTGAAACAGAACTTGTTTTCTCATGTCTCCTGGAAACTGGACCAGGCCACAAAAACTAGGGAAAATGAAATATATTTTTATTTCAGTTGTGTCTTTTATAATATTATCACAGAGATGCATTTTGTCACTGATTCTAAGAGGGTGATTACCCAGAAGCAGGTTTCTGTATTCCATTGATTTTGCTGCGCATTTGGAGGAAACAGGTGTGTTAAAGATTACAATCTTTGAGAAAATGTTATGTTAGTACATTTAAAAGAAGGTTATACAAAAGGAAAAGTGGCCAGGATCAAATGTGTTTATGATACTTCAACCAGGAAGAGGTTCTCTTGCACAAAACAGTGCTGTACTAAATGGGGTTTCCTAGTGGGCATTTCTGCCGATTATCAGGCCACGTATTTTGAAGGTGAGGAAATTAAATGGATGGACACTGGAGCAAAGTGTGGCAAAGCTTCCAACAGAAGTTCTTTATCACAGAATCATAGAGTTCGAAGAGACCCCATGGGCTATGTAATCCAACCAACTGCCATGCAGGAAAAGCACAATCAAAGTACCCCCGGCAGATGGCATGAAGGACTGGCAAAGACTCTTCATTTTATTCAGATAATACTAAATCTCAAATTACTGAAAATTTGAAATTACATTGAAAAATGTAGCTCAAAAAGTATGCATTTAACCATCCACTTACATATATAAAAAAGACTTAAAAGATTAAAGAATATCAATATTAAAGAAAGACTCCTGAAATTCAGTGTAAAGAGAAAGGGGGGATATTAAATAAGCAGGCAGACAAACAATTATTTACAAAAATAATTGTAAGTGCTGCCTAGCCTTGCAATTGGGACGACTATGCTGTTACTTATGATTTCTATACAAAAGGAACAAATTTTCGGGATACTTGTTAAAAGCAAGTGACCATGATAGGGGAACAGAGCATACATTACTGTGGAAAGCATCCTTTCTTATATTTCTTGTGGCTTTCCCCACAAAAACCATTTGTGTAACAGGACAATCTCTTTGTCAGCACTAGTCATCGCCCACGCACTTACACTTTTCTCCCAACTTACACTGCAATGCTGGAGCGGAGTTTCTGGACATCTTTTGATCTCCGACTCTCTTCTTTACAAAGTTTAAGTAACTTCATTGGAAATGGGTGGCTGACAAAGAAAGGGGGAGAAAACAATGGAAAACATATTGAGAACCATTTGTCTGAAATGTGTTGGGCATTACGAAGGTAGCTACTGACCATTAAGAGGTCCTTGATGTCTCCAAACAAAAGCTCCCATTAATCTAAGAAGGAGGAGCACATAGAAGAGAGAAAGTTGGCTTTGGCTGCTATTTTTGTAGTCCAGAAATCACTCAGAAATCCATCAACTACTGTTTTATATGCTCAAATTTTGTCCCACCATCTAAACAAGATCCAACATCCTCATAAATACATTTGGTAAATTGCAGGAAAGCCTTCTCAGCAGCAGACTCCCAGACTAAACTTTCCAGGTTGAGCTGCTTAAGTTGCTGACTGAAAGGTCGATGGTTTAAATCTGGGGAGTGGGGTGAGCTCCTGCTGTTAGCCCCAGCTTCTGCCAACCTAGTAGTTTGCAAACATGCAAATGTGAGTAGATCAAAAAGTACCGCTCCTGCGGAAAGATAGCGGTGCTCCATGCAGTCATGCTGGCTACATGACCTAGGAGGCATCTACAGACAACACTGGCTCTTCAGATTAGAAATGGAGATGAGCACCACCCCCCAGAGTCAAACCTGACTAGACTTAAAGTCAAGGGAAAGCATTTACAGTACTTTTACCTTTACTAATGCTGTTAAGTGGTGTGTCCATGCTTTCACCTTTAATAATCAAATGTATTTTAAACTACAGTATTTAGAAACATGTTTTCAAAGTACTACTGCTCCTTTTTAAATTTTAGCAAAATAAGATTGAAACTGTCTCTCATTTTAAATTACTATAAGCTGCCTTGGGTCCCACCCAGGAGAAAGGTGGGGTATAAATTCAGCCAATCAATCAAATGGTTATTACATTTGTATTACATCTGCCTAAAAAACTGTTTTTTAAAAGTCTTTTCTCTTAACAAAATCAGATCTAAATTTGAGTCTCTATGGATATCCTACAGTGAACGTTTGTTCACTGGAAAGGTGTGGAGAACGCTCTCTGTGTTACTTGTCTCCAGTCTGGTTCACTTTCTTCACAGTTATGAAAAGCTATTCATAGAGTGGATGGAATTTGTTGAAGATGAATTTGGTTAATGGGTGTGCTTGTTGCTTTTCAGCACAGGACAATGGTAATATAGGGAACGAGGTGTGATTGCCAAAGGAAATGACAATGCAGGCATTCAACGAAGAGGCCAAATGCAGCGAGCATCTGGAAAAAATTTAGTGCATGTCGACTTATGTGTAGGATTCTGCTTTTGAGATAGACCTGCTTTGCATTCTGTCATCTGCCAATTCCACAATGTTTGTAATAACTAACTCTAACCTACGGGTGATCTCAAATAGCACAGCCCCTTCCAAAGGAAATTGAGGAAATTCCTTCTCCTGTATGGGCAGCACTCCAGCAGAAACAGAATCAGTGCCGAGGGAAAAGGGATCTGTCTAAAGAGCCTGTGTGATGCAAATTGGGCACACGTGTTTCTGGAAAGGGAGCCCTTGGAAAAGGTGAGCTGCATTTTAACCAGATCAATCACGGAAACCCCAAAGGGTGGTCCTTCAATCAAGGGCAAGGCAGAGAACTCCCCTCTCCCTACTCCAATGCCCTGTGCCACTTTTAAGATTATGACGTTTAATGTGTAGGTAAAAGTCAACAGCCCATTGGTTATATTGTTATTTAGAGTCTAAAGTGGCTGATCTAACCCATGGAATAGTATGTAGTTATGTGTAATTGACAGAGAGGGGGGGATGTCTGTTTTTTGTAAAACCCTTTTAGTGAGACATTAACAGCATAAGCCACTTTCTCTCTTACTGACTCCTTCAGGAAACAACAGGGCAACTTTCTTACTTTAGAGAAGGTGTTTGCTGCTGTGCCCCCCACCCTCACCCAGTCATTATAGCACCGGAGGCCATTTGAATCCTGTCACCATTTACAATAAAAATGTAAACCAGGAAATAGGATAGATGCTGGGCAGTTTTTCTGAGATGTGGTCCAATTTATACTGGAAATGTACTGGAAGAGATTTCTTTGGGAGAGCTGATTTCTCATGGAATCCTAGAGATCCAAGGAGTCCTGGCTAAGAAATCCAGTTCTAAGGGCTCTTTCAGACAGGTCCTATATCCCAGGATCCGATTGCAGATCTTCTGCTTTAAACTGGAGTATATGAGTCCCATTTAAACTGGAGTATATGAGTTCAGTATCTGGGATAAACAGAAAACCTGGGATCAGATCCTGGGATATAGGGCCTGTCTGGAAGGGCCCGAAGGTCTGCTTTCTCAACCTGGTGGTGGTGCCAAAGGTCAGCTTTCTGAGGAAATGGCTCAAATCCAGGCATGCATGTTGGGTCACCATACAAATATACCCATTTTTAATTATCTTCAGTTTGTGAAAAGGACACAGGATTCTGCATGATTTCTGATCCTCTACCATGCAAGAATGTAAGAAGGGACTCAGAGATCCCATTACATATAGATACTAGATAGTGCACTAATGTGATTCACATGTAGAAACAAAGAATAATCAACTGTGGCTATACTGGTCATTTAGGTCTTCCAATCTTGCAATCAGACTCTTTGGAATCACGCCAGCATTGGAAAATTTAAATCAGCATAATGCTGCTAAATCTACAGTGAACCTATTGAGGGAGATGCTGTACACTGTATGAATTGCAAAAGCCATCCCCAAGTAGTAAAATGAGATTTTCAAAACAAATGACTTTTTAAAAAAAAATCACCCTATTTATACCTTGCCTTTCTCTACCCCAAAGAGGACTCAAGGTGGCTTACATATAGGCAATTAGTCAATGCCTTAAAACACATACAATTCCAGTAACATTAAAATTAAAATTAATACATATTAAGCATTTGGCTAAATCTTCAATGCTAAACCCTCTTTCTAAACCCTCTGTTAGGATCAGAAAGTTTTGGTTGGGCTCCAACATTTCCCCTGCGAGTTGCACAAATGAGGGAGAATACAACTTTGCTGCTTAACATATTTCCAGCATTTAGAACAGAAGGAATAGAACCTTACCATCACCTAATTATCACTTACTTTTCTTCATTTACAAAGATATCAAAGCAACCATTCGCCAGTATCTGGTCCAGCATTTTTAAGAGTGGTACAGATATTCTAAGTGAAGAAAACACATAAGACAATACTGAGACTCACAACATTCAAATAAAAAATCTGATTATTTTTCACTAGGCATCATACCATTCCTGTAATGTCAGCTAAGCAACTCTGACATAACCCAGGATTAACTGCATACCTCAAGAGGAAGATGGCAAAATGGAAGTCAGGTAATAGCTGTGTAATACACAAACTTGAAGGAATGATGACCCAAGAAGTAGTAATCTAGTATTTTGTTTCCATGGTAGGCAACCAGACTTCTCAGGGAAGACCACAAGTTGAAAATGAGCGCAGTACTCCCCATGCTCCCCAAACAATTATATTCAGAAGCATTTCTGTCTTGTGTACTGAAAATTGACACATTGCTTACTTCAAGTTTTGCCATGTGAATTCACGCAACAGTTCATTCTGCGCCTTTGCAAACTCATCTTTGAAAACATCAAGAACTAAACTGGTCCTTTGGAGTGAACTCTGTGCATGCTCCTGCAGCACTTCCCACCCAATTCCCCCAGTCCCAATCTGCTGCTGTGGTAAACCTGAAAGGACCAAAGATAGGTGGGCCAGATAGAAGGGAGTAGTAGTTTGAACGGGTTTAAGAATAGCCATTTGAAGAACCATAGTTACAGATAAAATATCTTCTTTTTCTTCTTTATTTTTGTCAGATAAATGTGAGGCTTCTCAATGAGAAGACTGCCATGCTGTAACAGAAGAGAGCACAGCCTTCCCAAAGTATGCACTAGTATCAGGATGGAAGTCCATTCTTTGGTGACTTATGCACAGAAAGAGCTGTGAGAACATGGCAATTCTGAAAAGGTTCTCAATGGTATGTCAATTAGGAAGAATGGTGATGCAGTCAAGGGACTTCTGGATACATTTGGTAGTGGGCGTCATGCTGATTAGTAATACTACATACCCACTATGGCAGAATTTGGACATAACAAACACAACATACACAACAAACAATCATGTTGCTTACCACAAAGAACATGTCCAATTGGCATGAAAGATTAAGTCTATTTTGATATCCATTGTGGCCCCAAAACATGGTTACCTTTGTCTTTGAAAGCTATGCTTTCTTAGGTGGTATTTGAAGAGCTCTCACATGGGGAGCAAATGTGGGAGGGGAGTTCTCCCACTTCCATGCAACACTGAGGAGACCTTTGCCTGTTTTTATGTGCATACTGGCATTGGTAGCGTAATACGAAATCAACCTTTGAGTTTGGAATCTAGGCATTTGTTGCTATAGTATACCAGATATGGAAATAATAACAAAGTCTGGATCCTATGTATCTAAGGTGATTAGCAAAAGGGACCAAGGTAGCAGTGAGGATAAGGTGTAGGAGAGTCAAATATACTGCTTATTAAAGTCCAAGTGTTGTTTCTGAAACCAAGATCAACCTTTTCTGAAACCAAGATCAGCCTTTTCCGAAAGAGCATTTTTCTTGATTAAAATAATAATTTACCAATATAAAGGGCCAGATCAAATGTGTGTGTGTGTGTGTTGGGGGGGGGGACCAACAACTAAGTAACCAATAAAAAATATAATTAGAAAATAACCAAAAGGACAGAAGAAGACACTTGCATAAACTAGTTCAAAAAACACAAAAGAATGAACAATACAGGTACTGTGGCAGATGAAAAGGTACTGAGGAAATTAAGGAAGATGCTTGCTAGAGCATGCATGGGGCAAAAAGACACCTTAGCTCTAGATGGGCCCAAGGGTGCACTCATGGTCTTTGTGTGCATCACAGGAACCATGAATAAGAGCAATATATCAACATCTGACTGGCAGTCTTTTAAAAATAATAATAATAATAACATTGGGTAGCTGTGAGTTTTCCGGGCTGTATGTTCATGTTCCAGAAGCATTCTCTCCTGACATTTCGCCCTCATCTATGGCAGGCATCCTCAGAGGTTGTGAGGTCTTTTGGAAACTAGGCAAGTGAGGTTTATATATCTGTAGAATGTCCAGGGCAGGAGAAAGAACTCTTGTCTGCTTGAGACAAGTGTGAATGTTCAATTGGCTTGATTAGCATTAAATGGCCTTGCAGCTTCAAAGCCTGGCTAGTTCCTGCCTGGGGGAATCCTTTGTTAGGAGGTTTCCCCCAGGCAGGAATCAGCCAGGCTTTTAAATCCAGAAAACTCACAGCAACCCAGTGATTCCAGCTATGAAAGCCTTTGACAACACAATAATGATATTGTTCACTTTACAATATTCAACAAAACAGAACATTTTCCCCTTCTTCTCCTCTGTCCCATCCTTAAGCCCATAACATACAAGATGAAGTAACCACTCTTATACATTAGTAAGAGAAAACCTTGTGGATGATAACATCACTAATAGCTGTATTCTCTGTGAATCTTTCTCATCCTCTTTCAATAGGTTTGCACAAGAGGCCGAATAGAAAGATATATTACCTATCATTCAGAAGGTTGTCTTCAAAAACTTGTAAGAGTGTCTCACAAAAGCTATTCATAGCATCCATGTCATTCTGAATATTCTTCAGATAATCAAACAGACTTTGGGATGAGTGCCGCACCTGCAAGTGAGGAAAATTCCCAAAGTAACGGTCTTATTGGTAGAGAATCATTTAATTGTTTTAGATTTTTTAAAACTTTAGATTTGTACATTTCAGGATCCACAAAGCTGGATCTAAGGAGTCACCTGGAGCCATAGGTTGCACTTTCCCCACCTGTTTTCTAAGATATATGGAGACGTTGTAACTTTCTTCATAACATGGTACAAAAGAACCAATATCTCAGGTAACACTATAATAAACCTCAGAGCAAACAGGTTTCTGTAACTTGATAACAAATGGTAGGTGTATTCCCGTGGGGACTTCTTGGGAATGTAGCAAGGCAGATCCCACCTGGATGCTTTGATCATAATTATATGAAACTTCAATGGCACCAATACAGTGGAAGATAGTGGTTTTCATGCCTGGTATAGTGAAGCCATTCTGTGTTTTAGCCTGAACTGGGGAGACATTTTAGGACATTTTAGCACTTTGGATGCTGCTTGAAAATCCGTAATAAAACCGGTAACGGATTGTCTCTCTAAAATGGAAAAGACTGGTTGGAAGTACATTAACAGTTGCCTTCTTTGTGAAACTGCCTTCATAATTCTTCTAAAGTTTCCTAAGCTAGTGGTCCTCAACAAAACAAGGTGCAACGAATTCTGTACATTTATTAGGTGTTGCGAGATGAAATACTTTCTTTGAATGATCCAATCAATGTGAAAAGAAGAGAAAAGTACTTGGCCCCACTAGAAGCTAACTGAAAGAAGGCATATCCAAAACAAGGAAAAGCTCAAACACTCATCCTGACTTATGAGTGAGTCTTTTGGGCTCACAGGAACATTCATATTCTTGAATGAACCTATGTCTAAAGGCACATTAGCCCCTCTCCTCGTTAGTTGGACTGCAGTCAAACTAACCTATTGAGAAATATCCCAAGGAGTTCCACAGAGTTGAGAATTCAGCGTCAATATTTCAAAAGTTCTTCTCTAAAGTATGCAGCCGCAGCCAAAAATATGAAAGGGAGCTGGAAGCAATCAAACCGCTTACACTTTTCAAAATTAAGTCTAACCACTTCTTAAAAATTCAATAGGAAAATGTTGCAGAAAAACCTCTGTTTGACCTTCTTGAGAAACTATTTTTCTGCCTGCAAAAATATAAGTGGGATAAGCCCTTGTATTTAAAATCTTTTCCTGGTGCAAAATTTAATCTCTTATTCATTAGGAAATACCACAAAAAGTTTGGCATCAGGTGCTAAATATTTTTAACATTTCACAAATATGGAAGTCAACAGAGTAAGGCACTGAGTTATGGTTTCATAGAAGGCAAACAATGCCAGCATCGATTCAAGTACTCTTGCTCCTCCACGCTTTTTGACTCACGATGTAGCATCACTCCAACAAAGGAACCAAAAAAAGCATGCAATGCATCGTTTTTCATGAATTAAATATGGGCAAGGAGACAACTTTCTTGAGGCGGGACCTCAACAAAGGCTGCAGTGGTTAACCAAATACTAGGCTAGCTAGAGTAGGGAATCCCCCTGTTGTACAGCTATCAAGTACAATACAATACATGAATGATAGTTTTCTTCAAAACCGCAACAATAATTGACAGATCTTATAGTGTAAAGCAACCAAGCAACTGGCCTCCTATGCTACTGAGCTGAGTTCCTAACCTGCCAACTGCCATTTGAGTATTGATAACAGAGAAAAGAGAGTAAGTAGGACACAGATAACGTTAAAACAGCAATGACCATACGATGCAGAGTAGGCTGCAACTGTGTCAAGCCTGGCTAATGCAATAGTCAGCTCTCTATAGGAACCCAAAGACTTAGCCAGAAAGATAGCCCAGCACTCACCCCTTGCATATTTTATTTACTTTACTGAGACTGCCAGAGCTCAAACTGCAAGCAAACACTCCTAAATTTAGTTTGAAGACAGAAAGTACTAGAGGCAGAAAATTAGGAGAAACATTGTGACAATAAAAATACAGATTTTAAGCAGTGTGCAACTGGAATGTTTTGCAACTGACATGAGGTTTGCATATTTAATAGATTTTTAATCTTCAAATGCCTTTTGTAGGACGGGAAACGTTTTCCAGGCAGTCAAAATAAAACTGAACTTCCAACCACTCGCTTGCATTTTTTTCAGTCGTTCTCTACTATAGGAATGACAAGACCTAACATTTCTAGTGGTTTGAATGTCATGGGTGGTCTTGGGCAACTCACACTCTGTCAGCTTCAATCCCCCTCAGAAGACTCCATGATAGTTTCATTTAAGTATTTCTATTAGTCAGAAATGACTTGAATGCACAGCAACAGCAATTTAAGCATGATGTGTGTAAAAGAATTTGGAGGGCGATATGATGGCTCTTTTTCCTCTTGTTATGATAGAGAGATTATACAACAAATTTCCCCCTGCAAGCATGTCCTCTGCTTCCAGAAAGAAGAAAGTTCACCTTTCTGAACTGGGCGAAATGGATTGTTTACAAAGAAACAAAGATGGCAAGTAGTGAAATCATAAGACCTACTCTGGTGATGTTATCAAGGAGGCAGTTTGAAGGGAAAACCAAACTATGCTATAGCCACATTAAATAGCAATAGGACAAGGGAAATTCATCCCTCAGTCAAAGAGATCTGCATTTATCAAGAGGAAAAACCTGCTTTCTCAAAACTGAAAGCCAAATTAAGTGATACATGGCTTTTAATCTAGGCTTCCCATATTCAAAGTGGTGAAGAGCTTTTTACCAAGTGAATGTGTTTTATTCACTTACTGTTGATTCGGTCAGTCCACCGACAGACACAGTCAGACCTGTTAGGACATGGTAACGATACGATGCTAAACCCAGAAGTTGTGTGATTTTAGGAAAAGCTTGGGCTGCTGCATTCCAATTGAATGTTATGGCCTCTGATCTGCAAAATAATAGAGAACATGGTCGCTTCTTAAGAACAATTAGAAACAGAATATATGTACACAACTGCCCCTTTTACCAAACTGACAACTAGATAACCACTGCAACCAAAGCAAAACTTTGATAGAAAAATGTGCAAATGCCCTTTGCCCAGCAGTAGAACAAATGTACTTTACATGATGCTTTCACAACACTAGTACTTTATTACCCTGTGCCATTGCTAGCTAGCAGTAGGGAGAATCGCGAAGCCAAGTTATAACACCTGAAGACAATGCTGGAGTTGACATGGCTAGTACGGTACTTTATTAGTTTCAGATTTTTGGAGCCTTGGTATAGCACAGGGTATGGATCAAAACATAAGGCAATGCTCCTTTAGATCCATGAACCAATCCCTGTCCTCCTGCTGGGGAAGGCACGACATGAGATCCATGGGGTATTGCATGTTTCCTCTGCTACCTCTGAGCTGAGGCCTAACCCCTAATATCCCTTTAGCCCAGTGGTTCTCAATCTTTGGGTCCCCAGGTGTTTTGGCCTACAGCTCCCAGAAATCCCAGCCAGTTTATCAGCTGTTAGGATTTCTGGGAGTTGAAGGCCAAAACACCTGGGGACCCACAGATTGAGAGCCATTGGCTTAGGGAATCCTTGAAATGGGAAAAAGAGGCATGCAGTCCCTGTTCTTCCCTCTCCCCATGGATAGAGCCCTAGCCAAAAGTTGTAACTGGAAGTATACTGTAAAACACTAAGCAAATGATCATGTGCTGCATATAATGCATGAAAATGGAAAGGATGGAGAGTGGGGATGCCAGCAAATAAAAACCACCCCCCCCCCCAAAAAAAAAACTGGCTGACAGTAAGGCTGGGGAGGTATACAGCTGGTCCAGAATGAAGAATTATTTCCTTAAGGCCTTTTTCTGCCCTGGGCTTTGAGTTGTTTGGCTGTTCCCAAAATTGCACTTTAGTGCGTTCAGCGATCCCTGGAAAGAAGCAATACCTCTAGGAGAAGAATATGGCATCCACTCTTCAATTCTCATCACAGCCAGCAACAACTCCGTCCCCCTCCCCTGATAAGTCTGGAAACACTATTTACTTTAATCAAATTACACATATGTCACAAATTGATAAAGCTTAAGTAACGTTTTCTTACATTGACCAGTGAATTCTTGATTACATAGCACAGGCCAATACACATTTTACACAACTTTTTGGAGTAGGGGAAGAACATGTTGGAGGTAATTTGGAGCAAGAAATGGCAGGTGTGAAAAGGTTTAAATTCAACTACAAATTTTTCTGCTCTTATCTGAAGGTGGCGTGTCCTCTCAGAATAAATTGGCAGGGGATTGTATGCACAGTCTAATCCTTAAACAATTCCCACATTTTCCCCTGGAAACTGTTAACATCCACATCTTGTTCAAAAACTCACTACTGGGTTTTTAAAAAATATGTTCTTTAAGTTTTTTTTTCTTCTGATAACCACAAATAATGGCTATGAATCCTGGAACCAAATCCTGCCAAATCAGAATGGAATATTATTTTCAAATATATATTTACAAACACACCATGATCAAACAAGACATGCTTTTCAGGGATTCGATGGCCACCATTATCTGAGACCACCCTGCATTGGTTACCTTGGAAATATCTTCTCTAATTCTTCTCGGTGGGGGATGTGGGGGACAGGAGGGTTGCTGAAGTACAGAAGCGTGAGAAAGATGGATCCTGCATGAGCTCGAAACCGGTCAATTTTTTCCGCTGACTGCTGAGCCACGCAGCACATAATCTGTTTGGAGCTGAAAATAAAATACACAGAAAACCCATTCATGCATTTTTAAATACACACTAACCACTCCCTGTTTGGCTATTCTCACTTCCAATATAATCTTCTAGACTGGCCCCACTAAAAACTCCTTCAATGAATGAAGTGAGAACAGCCGAGACCGTATCTTGGAATAGTATGCTAGAACTGGTTATTAGACAGTCTTGCATTTTTCTCTTCTAACTTCCAGGAATAAATTTGAAGCTTTTAAACATTTATTTACCATTTATTTATTTACCATATTTGTATTCATGCCAAGAAGAATAGCTCAGCTCAACGGATTCTGGTTTTAACCATTTTCTAGCTATTATGAAAGGGCTTTAAAATTATTTTAATTTTTAATGACATTGCATTTTAATTATAATTACTGTTATACTTTGAGGATTTGGAGAGATTTGGCCTATAACGTTTAAAGATAAATATGTATGAATGTACCATTTCTATCTCTGTAAATATATACATAAATAATTCAGTATTTTTAGACATGCAAACTATATTATTATTATTATTTACTTGATTTATACCCCAGCTTTCTCCCTATGGGGATTCAAGGTGGCTAACAATCCCACACTTTGGTCATAGTTTAAAATGCACAGTACCAAAAAAAATCATTAAATAATACAATGTAGATTAAAGTATAAACAGATTAAAATACAATAAATATACTTAAAATAGCTTTTAAAACTTTAGTTTTAACTATTCGGTTTAACAAGGCAGTGATAAATAAAAACTACAGTCTAATTCCCGATGTTACAAACTGAAGCAATACACAAGTAAATCCTGATTTATTTTTAACTATAGTAAGAAGGACAACTGAATCCCAACAATATATGCTACCAAAACATTTTTCACAGAAAGAGATGATCACCTAACCATATGGCAAGCACACACAAATGGTTTGCAAACTACATACACATCAGTGTCGATTAACTCTGGTTCAGTCTGAGTTAGTAACAGCGTCACTTCCATTAAACTGGTCATAGCAGCTTGTCTCACCCTATTGAAATAAAGATACAAAGCAAGTTGCCAGTGTTAAATTTTGAAGCTCATACAGATAAGCTGGAGTCACATTACAGTTGTCATTTGAACACAACACTTGTCTCTATGCATATGTTTGCACATGCACACAACACTGCTAGCTAAAGCATGTCAGTAGAATACCTGTAAACACTGAAAACCTTTCCTGCATCCATTGGTTTCCTTGTTTAATATCTCTCTAACTTGTGGTATTTCCCCAGGTGCTTCCTGCATGCTTCTAATGTTTTCAGCACAACCACAACACAAGGCTTTTGAAACAGATACATTTCTTGTGGCAAATGCTTAAGCAAGATACTAGAATCTGTCCTTCATGACAGTTTCACAAATATGGCATACATAGAGCCTTGGGTACATAAGTAAAAAGGAAAGAGTGGCAACCAGTGATGTTAAGAAGCAAATTGCTGATCAAGTGCAACCCCCCCCCCCCCAATTTATTACATTTTTTTAAATCGTTGATGTCACTAATCAGGTCAGGTCTAAGGCTGACCTGATTACACAATTATAATCAGGTCAGCCCCCCATACACAATTGCAACATTATAACAAAAATATTATCCATAAAAAACCCCTATAAGTGACATATAGATGGAATTAGTTCTGTTCTTTGCAGAAGTGTTTTAAAAAGTAATCCCAACTGGCTTCATTAACAATGAAAAAGCTAATGTTAACTATTTCAGGTAGAGAATGCAAGAATGGTTTAGCAAATCCATGATGAAGAAGAAAGAAAAAATAAGGATCTGGTGAACTGATATTACACAAGAGCTCATGGAAGAATGTGTTCCATTCCCAGACAGTTACATTATTCACTTTTAAAAGTGCATCTATGTGTATCTTATCTAGGCAAAAAGAAAAAGAAAAACATTTTGTGTTCCTTTTTCAAGGTCAAAAAAGGTGAATAACATGAAAGCTTGAATCCATTGAATGGAATTCTGATCAAAAATAAGGCTAGAGTGGTAAAAAATATAATCTGGATCATCATGATTATGTGAACATTTACCAGAGAATACTTTTTCCTCCTTTCATGTTACTATATTTAACACCTGCAGACAGTTTGGACAAGTCCCAGCAAACAACCTGTCAAAAGTAATGTTAAGTTTGCATATGGAAAGTACAGTCGGTTAGCTTTCCCACGAATCCTTTTAAAAAGGTTTTTTTTTTCTTTTAATTTACAAATGTAATTCTTTTTTGTAAATCTTGGAAAGAACACGGCTCTCCACCCCACCCCACAAATTTCCAAAGAGTCAACCCAGTCAGCTGGATAGAGCACTCCATTTCCAACTCTGAGCCATTTTTTTCTTGTTATATTATTGCAGAAGGGGCTTTAATTAAGACTTCTACTGGACTTTTAGCCTTATTGTATGTTTAAATGATTACATATTGTTTTAAGTTAATGGTTTTATTAACATGATAACTTATTTATTTTCAACATTTGAAGAATATGGACTTTAGCTGTTTTAACTTTGTTGTAAGGTGCCTCGTTCTCTTGTCAAAATGATATACTGGGGAACTTACTCAAGATCCATTCTAGCCAAGGAGAAGCCATCTAAGAAAGGCTTAACTGCAATTGCCACCCAGGCCAGGTAAGGAATCAGATGTTCTTTTAGAAAAGTTGAATCTCTAGTATCACCAAAATCACTAGGAGCCCCCGATGGCGCAGTGGGTTAAAGACCTGTGCCAGCAGGACTGAAGACCGACAGGTCGCAGGTTCAAATCCGGGGAGAGGCGGATGAGCTCCCTCTATCAGCTCCAGCTCCTCATGAGGGGACATGAGAGAAGCCTCCCAGAAGGATGATAAAAACATCAAAATCATCCAGGCATCCCCTGGGCAACGTCCTTGCAGACGGCCAATTCTCTCACACCAGAAGCGACTTCTGACACGACAAAAAACAAAAAAAACAAAAGCAAAAACAAAATTACTCCCAAGCTAAGAAAAAAAAGAGAACAGAAAGATTCCCCCAAAAAGAAAATCAGCACTGCCACCCATGGATGATACTAGATGTCTACACTTGACCTTCATGGTAAGTTTCCAAATATGATATTCTCAGCCACTGGAGAAGGAGCCATGCAAACAAGTGAGTTACTCTATCTTAAACAGGCCCTTGGAGGAATAATGGAAAGAAATTGAATCAATCTGGCAGGACCTGGGAGTCATCTACTGAAAGAGGCCTTTGTGGAGACACATTGGTCAAAACTGTAATGTACACATGGAAGAAGTCGCCCAAATTGCAGCCCTGCAAATTTCTTACAGGTGAAAATTCTGCTGAAATGACTCCTGACCTGCCACAAGGAAAAGTGCATTGCGAGACAGAATTAGAAGCAGAACAGTCTTAAGATGCTCAAATGTCCCCACATGAGAAGCTGGCGCTGACAGACGGGAGCTCACCCCATTCCCCGGATTGCAACCGCTGACCTATTGGTCAGCAGTCCTGCCGGCACAAGGATTTAACCCATTGTGCCACCAGGGGCTCCTAAAATGGAACTGCAAAGCAGAGAGAAGGAAAAAGGGAGGAAAGATGGGGGGAGGGGGGCTCAAGAAATAAGGCCAAGAGAAAGCTAAGGCAAAGTATACAACTTTTCCTAAGCTTGGCACCGAGACAGAATTGGCAATAATCCAAAAGGAAATACTTTCTAAAAACACAAACAAAAAATGAAATGTTATCATATTAGCTTGAATTTTCTTTAGTTTTATGACGGGATACTAGTGATCTTGATTTTGTGTGCAGAGAGGAAATGTAGCCTCTAGATGCCGTTAGACTACAACTTCTGTCCTCTTAACCACTGACTACGCTGGTTGGGACTGATGCCAGTCCAATCATATTTGTAAAAGGTTGTCCATTTTAGGATTTATAGACAACAGCAATACTACCTTAACCTTTTACTAGTCACCAAGGGCTCTTTGTAAGAGGTTATGGCAGATACTTGAGCTGCTGGTACAATTGTGCCCTCTGCTGTCCAGCCATCATAATGGAACTGCAAAGAAGTCACTCGATCCTTTGGGAACATTGAGAGGTTAGAACTAAAATCGCAGTAAGGAATAAGAAGTTAAGACCCCGCAATACTGCTTCAATTCAAAAAGAAATACTTTGCGGTTTGTATTTAAAAGAACGTCATTTAACAAACCTTTATACTGTTATGTCAGCAAATTCAAAAATCTTCATCTCATGCTGTTTGGTTTTTAATGTCCTACATTTTAAAGATCTGTATTTTATTCTTTTAGTTTTCTGCAACCCACCCAGAGGAACACACACACACACATATAATACAACACACACACACACACACACACACACAATAAATATTCATCAATATTCCCTTTGCAATGGCAAAATTACAAGAACTGTTGGCAGGGTTGCAAACCACTTAACATGGATATGATTAGCTTTCCATCAAGAGTACTGCTCACTTTGTTTTTCCCTCAGTCTTTGTTCTGGCAAAGCTAGATGGCACTGTTCTTAAGGTGCTTCAAGTTGTGAAATGTGCTAGAGAAAACATGGCTAATTGTGATTTTTTTTCTGGGTTCTTCTTTTGAACCCAATCCTATTTTTTACTTTACAACCAAAGAATACAGAAATGGGATTTTATCGATAAAGATAAAATATCCTACCATGCTCCAACGTCACCACGACTGTCTGTTGTGTAATCATTGAGGCCATCCAGCAATATGTTGTATATCTGTGCAACATTATTTTTGCATACATATTCATTTGGCGAGCCGTCTCCTTTCACACCAACTGTCTGACAAACTCTGGAGAAAGAATACATATTCACAAAATGGTCACCATAACTGCAAAAACTTAGCACATTTAGCACATGTTCACTAACAGTAAATTAAATTCAGCACATCAGAGGTGGGGGAGCTATGGTTTGTGTCAGCACTGTTTATTTCTTTACATCCTTTTTCCTTTTTGCTTATTCATGTCATGCTGTGCTTTGTGGTTATTAGATCATATGTGTCAAACCTACATTTGCATAATTTTACAATTACAAACAGTCTTGAGGTGGCTCTTGGTGAAAATGGATTTGACACCTCTGTTAGATGCTTTCTATATTTTCAACGATGTATGTATTTATGTGTTTGATATACCCTAACAAAACTATTTTAATACATTCACCGACTATATCACTATCAGTCACTTAACCAAAATGGAGAGGGAAAAAACCAATCTAAAACTGCAGAGCAAGGAGTGATTGATCTGAGTGAGTATTTAGCATAGTATTTTGACATTATGCACTTGAACTGTAGAATTAACTAGTGATTGAAGAAGAGAGGGAGAGATACCAGTTGATTTGATGCTCTCGTAGCCAAGATTCTGTCATAGATAATATTCCTGGAGACAGACACAGGATTTAACTAGGAATTAAAGATGAAGTTCACTCTATCAGCAACTCAACCTGGCGCTGAGGGACAATAGACTCGGATTGAGGAATCAGGTCACAGTCAGCGACTTTACCCAGAAAGGTGTCATCTCAGCAGGCCCTGTGGCCACCAAACTTTTCTTGTGTTTGCAAACTGCCAGGGTTCTGCTGGGATTAAGGCTGCTGAGCTCCAATATGATAGCTCAATACACAGCAAGACCCAAAGGCACTTGCTTCCACCTTGTTTTGCTGCATGGCCAACACAGTTAGTCCTGAATAGGTTCACTGTTATTCTAAATGTGCCAAGTGGCATTTTGCCTGTGTATGATGCAGAGCTCCCCCTTGCATCACACCAACATGTTGTCTAATCCAGACATATGGGAATAAGTAATGTCCAATAGTGGGTTACTAATTGCAATATACTCCTTCTTTCAGATGTGCACTCTTTAAAAGCAGTTGCAGTTACACAAGGGGAGGATGGCAAAAACACAGGTATTTATGCCTAGGTAAAAATTTAGAAGAGAGATTTCTAACTCTCCAAGCTATACTGCTAAAAAGTCTATCATTAAACAAATTACATTATGTGAATTGTGTTAGTAAGAAATAAACGCTAGTGCCATTTTGAAATTACTATCTCATAAAGATCTAATAATTTAGAAGTATTTTTCACTGTGCAAGCAACTTTACAGAAAAATAAACCTATACCTGAACTTAAAAGCAGCAGAAATCCTTAAAAACATTGTGAATGATTTTCTTTTTGATAGCAGCCTCTATTTTGACATTATACAGGGAAGAAAAATAAATAAATAAAAATACATGTTTAAAAATGGGACATCATACTTTGAAATGGCTTTCAATCCATCTCTTCTGGATTGAGCAAAGCTCAGAGTTTCAGGGGAAATTGAAGTTACTCTCTTCAAACCTTCTAAAACCTGGAAAACAAAAAAAATCCACTAAATTAAGCATTTTTGTCAGTACATCAGTACACCAGAAGTCCAAAAAAAGTACTGTAAATGAAATTTAAGAAGCTTGAACCTGTTTCATATCTAAAAACACAGCAAAAGATCTTAAATATTTATTTTAAATTTAGAAAGTGCCAGGGGCGGCACATAACAGAATAGTTGCTAGTAACATCAAAGCAGTGGAAGTGTTACAGGCACATATACACTCTACATTTCAAACAAATACTGTACTGAGAATATAATTTTGTTGACAAACATCCAATTCAAACCTGCATTTCTTATCTATATGTATGACAGTGAAAGAGGTTAGCTAATGAAAACATTTTGATACTGTTCAACTAATATGCTCTGGTTAAGATCTTATCAGATACTGACGGAGTATAAAGCTCCCCCAGCAAACCTTTGGTAGATGCCTGTAGGGTGAGGGCTGTTCTCTTTTCATCAGCTGCAGAATGGGAGCTGAATGGCAGCAAAGAGCACCTAATGGCCAATCAGTGGGTACTGGAAGGCAGAGCTGTGGCCAAGCGTTGTATGGCTGTCACTGAGCATCTGGGGGGAAAGGCACTGCACCAGAAAGTACTGGTTACCTCTTGTGGTCTAAGTGTTCGATTAGCTGCCAGTCCATTTCTGGACACAATTCAAAGGGCTGGTTATGACTTGTGAAACTCTATAAGGCAGTGGTCCAGGTTTTTTGAAGGATTGTATTCTTCCTTATGAAACATCTCAAGTTTTGGGATCTTCTGGGAGAGATCCTTCTTTATGTCCCACCACCTTTACATGAAAAATGGCTGAGAATTCGAGTCAGTCTTCAAAGCGGCTGCTACCATGCCTGGGAACTCTCTTCCAAGAGCAGCTAGACCAGGCATAGGGAAACTTCAGCCCTCCAGATGTTTTGGACCTCAACTCCTACAATTCCTAACAGCCTGAGTTTTAATTCTTTGATAGCTTACATTTTATGTACATTTTATATGTTGTTAATTTTTAGTCATGTCTAATTGTTGTTAAGTGCCTTGGCATAACTGGAGTTATACCAGCATAAATCAGTAAGAGTATTCTGATCAGTAAGGGCAATATTTCTATGAGGAAAAAAAGAAAGAAAACCAGTCCCTTTACAATTAGCTGTCCCATCTCCCCCAATGCATACCTATTAAAACAGTTGCATCAATATGCAGGGCTTGCTGTATCTGCTAGCCACAGATAGTATACTTACTAAAATATTTTCTTTTCCCTTTGGCTGAGAGATGTGACTATGCAATTATCCGCATGAAATCCAAAGCTGAAATAGTATCTCGGATTCTTTTGTCCCAGAAGGAAACTGCAGGCATCCATTAGAAATTCAGAATTGACTGTTCCAGAGTGTTGGTGGAGGGCAATACTTTATGAAGGAAAACTACTCTCCCCATCAAACCAGATAGCAATGGTTTCTCATTTGCTCATGGCTTGTTTGCTTATTTCCTTTTTGTTTCTTCCCATAAGGAAGACATGTGAAAACATGCCTGCAGTTATCCTGACAGAGGTGTGAATGCCCACTGACATCTCAAAGGTTGTTACTCTTACATGTTTCATGCAAATAAAAAAATGTTTTATTGCAAAATTATGTGTATGTGCCTTCAAGTCACCTATTGACTTATGGCAATCCAATAAATTTCACAGAGTTTTTCTTAGGCAAGGAACAACTTAAAATGTGGTTTTGCCAGTTCCTTCCTCTGAAATATAGCCTACAGTAACTGGTATTTGTTACAGAACAATTAACCAGAAACTTCTAATTCAGAAACATTCAAACATATATAACATTGTAGACCTTCCAACCTAACAGCTGCATTCTATCTCACCTCATGGAATTTGCCTTTAAGAAGAAACTTAGGAAATGCACCCAAGGCTAGAGAAAAGCCACACCGAACCATTTCCTCATGGCTTTGGAGGCCTGAAATGTACTGTTTCACCAGTTGATCTAGAAAAACACAACAGCCATATTTTTGTTAATTAGAACTTGACAGAAGATGGCAGGAAGAGTGGGAAGTTGCTAAAACACTTGTATAAAGCATACATTATTTTCAATGGCCGTGGAAAATGCTGACTTTGTAAGTATTGCACGTAATTCTGCCCCTAGTTATTAAAAATATTTACTAGAGCAATATTGTGTTAATGAAGCAAGACAATTTAATCAAACATGATGGTCTGTTGTTTTTCTGAGTGGCAACAATTCTATTGCATGGTGTGCTTGAAACAATTAAAGGGTATAAATCCACTGACATTGGAGTAACAACTTTTTAATAGATGTGAATCTGGTAACCAAACAAATTCTGAGTACTTATTTTTGCCCCTGAGGGCTCTTCCACGCAGTTCTATATCCCAGAATATCAAGGCAGAATATCCCACATTATCTGCTTTGAACTGGAATATATGGTAGTGTGGACTCAGATAAACCAATTAAATTCAGATATTGTGGGATTTTCTACCTTGATATTCTGGGATATAGGGCTGTGTGGAAGAGCCTTGAGATGTGCCTGTTAACTTATTTTTGAAAGACAAACAATTCCAATATGTTTTGCACAGTTTGATCCTATGAAATAGAAATGCAACAGTATTTCTAATAAAGGTCTTTCCCAATAATTAATAATGAAGACAAACAATATTTAATCAAAAAGTATTGGTTAGTGCCCAACCTTTCCTATTTTGATGAAATAATGGTGTGTGTGGTGGGCTCCAAACTCCAATGGTATCTGAATAAAACTGATGACGTAGATCCATTTCAATCTGGTTTCATGACTGGTTATGGGGCAGAGGCAGTTTTGGTCACCTATGCAGAGAACTGGACAGGGGGAATGCATCCATTTTGGTGCCAAGAACCTCTCAGTGGCTTTCAGTACCATCAACCATGTATCCTTCTGGGCCGAGTTGCTGGGATGGGGCTTGGAGGCACTCTTTTTCAGTGGCTCCATTCCTTCCTGAAGGGACAGTCTCAGAAGGTGGTGCAACTCCTTGGCCACTGGCCTGTGGGGTCCCTCATGCTGTTCAACATATACATGAGAGGTCATCCAGAACTCTGGAGTGCGGTGCCATCTATATGTGAATGACAGCAAGCTCTTCTACTCATCTCACCCCAAACAAACCAAGGAGGCTGTCCTGAATTTGAAGCTGACTCTGAAGAGAGTTTGCAGATTTCAGCTGGTATGATAGTTGGTGAAGATATTTTAGGTGTTTGTGAACACCACGGTGCATATGACACAGAGGGCTGAGGTAACACAAACTCATAAATTCAGCTCTTCCATATTTACTAAAAATATATATTCTCTATCAAAACAACACACATTTTAAAAACATGAAAATAATCATTTCATTTTTTTTTCTGTGTTCAAAGTACATCTTGTTCATAATGTTTTATGGTAAAATGTGGATATTAGAGCATAGATTGATTTTGGAGCCAGAAAATGCATCATATGGTTCAGGAACCTTCTGCATTGCCATATAAAATTCAGATTATCTGCTTTGAACTGGATTATATGGCAGTATAGACTCATATAATCCAGGTCAAAGCAGATAATGTGGATTATCTGCTTTGATAATCTGTATTATATGGTAGTGTAGAAGGGGCCCCAGAGAGCTGTGAAATCTGATGGATATGATCCATCTATTCATTCAGGAAATGCAGACCAGAGCACATCATATTGGCATTTTCAAGGAGCTAATTCCTCAAGTATTCTATCCCTTCTTACCTATGTGTTCTGTTTTAATAGCATAAACAATAAACTGCACCAGCATCTATTTTTAAAACACTTATAGCACATGGCACATAATTAGAAATTGGCAGAAAGGCAATAAGAAGTTTAGTTCTTGTGGGTTTTTTCGGGCTATATGGCCAGGCATTTCTAGAGGCATTTCTCCTGACGTTTCGCCTGCATCTATGGCAAGCATCCTCAGAGGTGAGGTAAGAAGTTTCATTAATACTCTACAATGGCTATAACATGGTAGGTACACTTTGCCTCAAAGTCTAACAAAATTAATAGCTATAAAGCTGAAAAAATGTTCAATGGGGAAGGAAACCACTGCAATGAATAAAGAGGAAAAAAGCAAAAATCAAACTGGATTCAAGAGGAAGCAGGAAAGGAGGCATACAATAATTATTAAACAGAAGAGAGAAACATAATTATAGCTTTCCAATGTAAGGAATTCAGCTTGGAGGTGTAAACTAGGTGTAGTGTCTGTGGTTCCAGAGCATCAAGTGTGCAGCTGAAGTATTTCTCCCAGTTGCACACTTAAGATAAGTGTGTTTTATTATTTCTTTGTTGATACGGTGTAGCCTTTTATCTGTAAGTAGGAAAGAATACTGCAAATCCTCCCAAATTAAAGGAAGACAGATGGAAGGTTGTGTTACACTTTACAGCCCTATTCTACCCAATCTTTCCATTTTCTATTTAGCATCTGTCTCACTTCTTTAGTCCCTGCTTTCTAACTGGCAAGAAAAAAGAAGAAGAGAATCATCCTATATGAGCCACACCACATCAAATATTGCAAGGGCTGTGACTAAGTCACCTAAATGCTGGCATTTGCTGACATGTGTATCTGCCATCTCCCATCTGATTATTCTGTTCTCGTGTATTTATTAAATCTGTATATAACGAGGTTTCTTTTCTGCTGCAGCAAATCCTTCTGCATTGCTACTGAAGTCACATTTTCCCACTGTACAGTTCAAGGAAGAGAAAGCCCATTCAAAAGTGCAAACGTAACTATTGCTTTAATTCAAATGGCAATGAGATAAGTAATATTCTAGGGACATTAAAAACAACTTTGTCCCATACATGTGCAAATCAGAATTCTTTCATTTCTCCAAGGCATTTCTCCAGAAGGGAGAGGCAATGTATATTAACTGTTGCTACCTTCAATTAAGTGCTTCTTAATAGCCTACAAAACAGGGCTGCGTCCAGAAAAGCTGCTAACCACCAAAGTGTTCATTTAGTTTAGGCTAGTATTGCTTTTGCTGGAATTCTGCTAACTAAGAAGATCATCATAGGTTGTCCCTTACAGAAGACAGAAACAACCTTGTGAATCATTACCTTGCTGAGCTGGATTTGCATCTTCCTCTCCAGTGCAATAATATTCATCATACAGAGCAGCTAAAGCAGAGACAGCTGATTCCTAAGGCAAAGACAAAGGCAAAGCATGGTAAACATAAACATCTTACTCTTCCAGTTGCACCCTCAAAGTGCAATAACCAGTGGTAGAAATAACCAACAGATAACTCCCAAGGCTTGCACTGCAATGTAATTAGGAGGACGCATTCACACAACTGCTCAACTATCACTGGTGGCCACCACCCTATAACCTATGAGTCCTGAGATACGTGCTACAAAGAGATATAAGATTCATGTGTACTGGTCATTTACATTATTTTTTAAAGAGCCCAAAGTCGTCAAATGTTGCACTTTAGAAATTGCAATCAGGCCGAATTATAAACTACCCTGGACTGGACTGTCAATTTGGCATACAGATTTGAAAATAACATAACCAACAGTAAACTGCTAAATATTTTTGAAAGCTCTTGATATTACTGCATTGACATCAAACTATTAAAACTATATTTAATGTATTGTAATTTCAGTAGACTTAAGCTAAACCAAACAGCATTTTGTTGATATTTACTCCACCCATTAGAAAGTAACACAATGAGACAAGCAGACAGATGCAAACTGGGGGGAGCTGCTTTAAACCCAATTGGCAATGCCCAAGATCTAATGGTAGTCTGCCACCGGATTACACTGCTTCTTGCAAGAGTCATTAATCCCTCCTCCCTCTTGCAGCGCCTCCAACTCCAAGTATCCTAAATGCCTTCTCATGATGATTGATAAACTTTCTGTAGCAGCTTTCGGAGGGCTGAAGTAGAGCAGAAAAGGAAATCCATTGGATCCTAAACACTTTGTTGGTTCAGTACTGAAGTATATTGTATGTTGTTGTCAAAGGCTTTTATGGCCAGAATCACTGGGTTACTGTGAGTTTTCCAGGCTGTATGACCATGTTCTAGAAGCATTCTCTCCTGACATTTTGCCCACATCTATGGCAGGCATCCTCAGGTTGAGGGGTCAACATATATTATACACTGCCTCAACTGGATAAACCTGGGCTGAATGATCTAGACTTCCTTAGGGACAATTCATTTATTGCCAGACAGGAAATTGACATAACATACCAATTGAATGGTTTTTCAACAAACGTTAAAATATACAAAGGGATCTCGTAGTAACCTAGAAGCTAACTGTGAGAACAAAGTTGGTAATGCAAGCTTTTGTAGACTAAGTTACTTTCTCAGATGCGCAGAGTAAAGTACCTAGGAACAGACCTTTATAAGTAGACTGTGTTTGCGAACAGTCAAAGAAATTCAAAACATGTGGGTCTGGTAATGAGGAGACAAGATCTGTATTAATAATGGACATTGGAGACAAAAGCAGGAGGGAAGATGTCGCTTAAAAGCAAAATGAATAGATGATCATATGAATGGCAGAGGAAATTATTGGAATGGAATGTCATGCTGCCTCAGGACCATGAGGCTAGGATGGTAGCTGGCTAGTATTATGATTAGTATGCCAGGAAACCATTGTTTATATTGATGGACTAGAGTTTGCATATATATTCCAAATCTTCCAATCTTCCTTTGTATATCTGTATGTATATACATATACACACACACACACACAGGGTTCAGGGACAGCTGAGATCAGAGATGGAATGCCCAGATAGACTGAAAATAACAGTTTAGTTATAATTCTCATGATTTAAAAACTTGCATCTTTTAATATTTATTCTGGCAGAACTTTAAAATAAGAATAATCAAATAAATTTTCAATTAGCATTTAATTTCAATTTTATCAGTTAATTTCTGGGGTAATAACATTATTTTACAGCTAAAGTGGCAGCATTCCGCTCTTTCACAAATCCACATTTTTATCCCCTTATAAATGTATGACAAAACACTACATTCAGAATTATGAGATGTTCTGCCCATATCATATGAACATAAGAGTCCCCCTAATTAGTAGAGAGTTGCTGCTCGCTTGTACAGTGGTGGAAGTGCCTGTGCAATGCTAAAAGTCATGGTTGTGGGCCAAAGAGTGTAGTCAAATATGAACCTTTGATTTCAGGAACGCTGATTTTATTAAGCTCAGGGAAATATTGGATAGAATCCAATTGTTAGAAACGCTAAAGGAAAAAGATACTGCTTACCCCACAACACCTAATATTCCTATTAGGTATCTTTCCTTATTGTAAGAAAAACACACAAGAATAGAGGTTAACTAACTTTTATTTGTTGTCTTGCATTGCTTGAAACGAGATGGAGACTTTGTAAACTATCATTTATCAGCCACTGCCAGCCACCTAGAGGGGAAGAAAGTATATAGAACAAACAACATCCACATTTTGTATTTCAATTAATTCATAACTTTTAAAGTGCATTAATATGTTCCAACTTTTGTCCATAAAACAATTACTTAGATTTCAAAATTTAAATACACGTCTGTACATCTTTTAAAAATAGTGTGTGTCGGAGGGGGGGGGGGGGTTCAGATTAAGTGGGTTTTTTAAAACTAACTGATCTGATTTTCAATATTTGTTAACCACCGAATTACTTAATTTCACTATTTGCTCAGCACTAAGTTATATTAAAATGCATCCATCAATGATATTCCAACAGATATGTCCTCTTATCACTAGCAGAAGTCACTTCTCTATACTATTTTCATTTCCATCATCACTCCCCGTTTCCAAAGAGATGTGCTGTAATCTTTTAGCACAATTACCCCAAACCCCTAAATATCAAGGGCCCACAGTTACATCAGCTGTTCAGCTGCATTGTAAAAAAGAGGCAGTAAAAATTAAAATCTGACATACCAATTATGGGATCTTCTTTAAAGGGCATTTTTGAAAGTGATAACTTTTCAATCAAAGTGCACACTAGGGGGGAAAAGAAATACATACTTTGTAAAAACAACAGATAGGGCTATTCTATGTCAACATATTATGATGAATTCAATTCGGACTTACACACCCATATTCAAATACAGCATGATCAGTCATTTTAAAACTACTAATCATTACATAACGCTGATCAACATTAAATAGCATAAATAATATTGTAAGAAATATTTCAGAATAATAGATGTACTTTTTGCACTATGCATGGCTAATCGGCCAAAGTTACTTTCTCATGGTACAAACAAAGGCCTAAATCCAATTGTTATTCTCAACTAGAACAGAACCCTGAATCAAAAAGAAGTTAACAGTTAAGTAAAAAGTGGGTTTAGACCTAAATCTATCTAAGGAGCACACAGAAGTCACAAATTAAGACCTCGGGCAGTTCTGCAAATTGTGCTGCCTGGCTGAAAAGTCAGTGCAGAATTTCCTGCTTCTAAAGCACTCCTTTCATTTTTTTTTTCTCTCCTTCCAATTAGATTGTAACAAGCTTCTGTTCCTGCAAGGAAGTTTTACTGGGGTGTTTTCAGTGCCAAGCAGGCAAGAAAATGAATTACTCCTTCAAAGTTGTTTCTGCTATGGATTAAAAAAGGAATGTATGGAAAAAAAAGAAATTTGTCAGGGATACAGTTAGTACATAGACCTAATTTTTGTAAAAAGGGCTCTCATAATATATCCAAATACGGTTCAAAATGCTAGTAAATGAACTGTGTGGTAAATCCTGCCATTTGCCACAGATGTAAGGGGATTTTGGTTTACTGCAGCTGCTATTCTGGAATCTGTTTGTATTTTGGCTGTGCATTTTTTCAATTGTTATTTGGGGAAGATATATATTGTTTAACAAGAGGAGACAAAGGTTTGGAAAAATGGGCAGTGCCCTTGACTACAAATTAAAGACGAGCTCACAGCATATCTGTTCAATCGAGAAAATAAAGACAACATTTCTTTCTGAAATGTGTTTGTTACTAGAATTTCAATACTCAAGAACACAGCAAGGTACAAGGTACCATGGAACATTATATAATGCAGTGGTTCTCAACCTGTGGGTCCCCAGATGTTTTGGCCTTCAACTCCCAAAAATCTTAGCTGGTAAACTGGCTGGGATTTCTGGAAGTTGCAGGCCCAAAACACCTGGGGACCCACAGGCTGAGAACCACTGATATAATAAATACTTATTCTTTAAAAAGGACCAATAAATATTGCCATGTAACGTACCAGCTTGTCTCATTAGTTCGCCACCTAAACCCCTATGAAACAAAAGCAATATAGATATTGATTGAAGAAGAAAAGAACAAAGGAAAAACAATCAAAATGTACATCGTTTGGCAACAATCAAAAGTGCAAATGTATCAAACCAAAAATCCTGGTCTAATAAATCAATCTGTGCAGAAAACCCTTAACATCTCACAGGAGCGTTTTGGTTATTTCATGGACCAATGTTATGAATCTATCTAATTCAGAGATAGCTAAAATGATGGTAGTGTCAATTACAATTTTGTGCCCTTCTTCAAATAGCAGACAATCCTTAACTACATTATCACGGTGGCATTTCTTGTCCATCATAAGCACTTCTGTGACACCAGAATGGCTATTCATGTACCTTCAAAATATTGTCAATTTTCATCCTTGTATTTATTACATGCATGCATTATAAAAACCAGCTTTTAAGACTGGATTGCCCCACAACTACTTTGAAACACAATAACTGTTCCCATCACACAAAATATATTTGCTCTGTTCATATGCCAACCAAGCTATATCTGTATTTGCAAAGTATTGCATGACCAATCTGAATGCAGAAAACTTGGCTTTTGATTGTGCAGGTTATCATACATTGGATTTATGGTTATATATTTCAGGAGGTCTCTTATTCTACCACTGCCAAACAAATTCCCAATTAGAAAGAGTGTATTCAACATTCATCTGCTTACCTATATTGCTGACGATGGTAAAGCTGCAAGAGAAAAGCGATACAATATTTTTAAAAAAATCCTCATCCTAGAGATATGAAGACTATTAAAAAAATAATGCCTGGAAAATTTGGAGGAGAATTTCCCTTTTGCTAAAGCCTTTTTTTCCAATTAAATTTGAAAATGAAATATCTTCTTTTAAAATAATAACATATTTAAAGCAAGGTATTCCTGTATTACTCACTGGAAGAATTTTATGTATGATTATACATAAGAAGAGTCAATTAACATGGTTGGTCTTTGTTTATTCTTCTTAGTTTTATTTTATGGGAATTAGTGTGTTATGTCTACTTGAACCTACAGAAGACAAAATCATTTTCTTGCTTGCATAATGACAATGGTTTCTCTTGTTTTTTTGCTAATCTCTGATAAATTGGTAAAATCAAAAAGGTTCCTTATAATTAAGGATTTTATAGCCCTATTTGTTTGAAAAAATATTAAAATTACTAATTGCAATTGTTATCTAAAACAGAATTTCCCATTTTTGCCCATGATGTAAATGTTTCTGGATTTTTTTTTCTTCCTAGTCATCCCCAATTCTTATTATTGTACAAATCCAGTTTTAGAAGTAGCTTTTCTACTTAAATGACACACTTGCCAAAAAAGGGTCTCTAATACAGTTTGAACAAACCTCCAAATGGATCTGTTTAAGTCCTTCCAAGATTTTCTCATTTAAATATGATGAAATAGATCTATAAAAATAAAATAACAATTGTATATCTATAAAGCACTATTAGATACTACCATAGTTCTTCAATTGTAAGACACCAGCAGTTGTAATATGCAACCTAATTTCAGTACTACCACCATCAACAAAAATACAGTCAATACACCTGAGATATTCTAAGACGCATCCCCACCCCATATTTCGAGATGTTTATCTAGGAAAAAAGTGAATCTAGGAATTGAAGGAATACAGTAAATTATTTCATTTTAAGACACTTTTTGGAAGCCGACAATTTGACAATTAACTAAATTTAGGTATCCTGGAAATAGCAATCATGCTGATGTTTGCATGCACCTTTCAATAGTTTTTGCTATATTTAACTAAGATCTAATGATGTCTTGCTTACCAAACCTAATCCCACCACATCTGTTAGTGTTTATGATGACAATGCACTTGGATCTTTTAAGATTAAATATTTCTCAAGAAATGTGATCATAATTTGCTCAATTGTCCTTGATATAGTAAAGCAGAGGAAAGGTACTGAGGTGTCATTTAGGAAACTAAGAAAGCCATAACTTTACGCAAATCCAAGATTTCTCAGTTCAAGTGGAAGAGCAATGGATAGTGATGGGTAACCACAGCCATTAAGCACAGGCAAAGGCATTCACCATCACTAGAGAAGGAGATACCCATCTGCCAGATTATTTCCACCAAAAGCCTGATCTATCTGGAGCTACCTTATTCTTTAATAGTTGGCTCTGAGAGGCACTTAGGTCTAAGGCACTGTGGGAGAAATGGCCTAGGAAAGGTTGCGGATAAAGTGGCCTCTGATGGGAGATGCACACCGGGAAATTAAACATAACAGTACCAACACAATATTGCACTTGGTTATAAGTAAATAGGATGTTGCCTAAGTAAAGAACAGTCAGGCAGACATGATGACTAAAGATCATGACAAAGCTTCACTTTTTTAAGGTTACCATTTTCTGGTTGCTACAGAAGTAATAGAACAAATACAACAAAATAGTTAATTTGGCTTTTTACCTTTTATTTTCTTCTGCTATTTGGCTCAAGGCATGGGTAATCTCAGCACAGGCCAGAATCGCTCCATGACGAGTATGAAGATCTGTGCCAACTGCCAGTGATAGCAGTTTTGGTAAAACTGGGATGAATTTAATATGAAACAAAGTAGAAGTCAAATTATTATTCTTGTGCCAGAGAATCTGATAACATTGAAAAGCAACAGCCTTCTTCCAATATGGTTCCAATATGAAGGTTAATCCCGATATGCCAAGTCAAATAGGCAGCAGTATACATATATACCATTAGGACTCCTCTTCTTCCTCAACAGTCTTATTATTACGCCCAATCCAACTAACCTATGCTCAAAAATTATAACCTGAACCCTAATTCAACATATATGCACTGGGAGGGTATAGAGTGTTACTCCAAACCATCCCAGAAAGATCCTTCACAGTAAGTATAAACTTTCATTCACATTATGACATAGAGGAAATTCCCTTCCTGATGGGATTGAAGGAAAGACTAAACCCCCACTAAGAAGCTTCAGGTTGAAATACAGTCCATCCAAATGCTGCTTGAACAGACCTTTATCTCTCCAATTTATAGTGTCCCACTAACTTTAATGGCTTGCTCCACTCAGCAGCATTACAAATCTCTTCTAATGATGATGTGGCTGCATATGCTCCTCTGGATGTCACTGATCTTGTTGAGTGAGGCTAAACATTTTGAGAACTTGACTTTTTATCCAAATTTAAAGCACAAATACATGCTTTAATCTGGCCAGCAGTTGACCTTTCTTGCACAAATCTGGACAAATTTGGACAAATAGAGCTATAATCTTCTATTACTTGTAGTCCCTTCTGGTTGAGATTGTGCTGTAGTCACCAAAAAGGTCATCTGAAAGAAGCTTTGGTTCAAATGGTGTAACACTGTTAGTCTACTCAACACCAATTATGTCCCATGATGAGAAAAGTAATATACATTTCTGCCTATCATGGGATTAACCCATCAGTTAATGGATTGTTCCTCCTGACCATACCATTACGATTGGTAAATAAAAAACTTACATTTTCCATTTTTACATAAATGCATAACTAGCATTTCTATTTACAAGACCTAATTCGTAAAGCTGGCCACAAATTTCTCCATATGATAACATATGCCACAGAAAGTGAGACAAGATGTCTGTTTTTCATAACGATCCTGTTTGTACATTTATGAAATTCACCTGCTGAAATGGTGCAAGAGCTCTCTGAATGGCAATCACTTAATTAAAACACTTACAGGGCGACCTGTGTTACTTTTATATTTAAATCACTAAATCCAAGTCTTATAGTATTCTTATAGTATTAGTTCCAGGAGCTTTAGGACACATGCTCACCTTCATCTGTCATATAGTCAGGGGCCTGTGCTGTGAGATTATGCAGAGCTTGGGCTGACAATTCCCGAATAACTCTGGAAGATTGGGGAAAGGAATATGTTTATTTAATATTCATTTAAAAAGAATTGCTAATATTCACTTTACAAGTTCATAACTTTATCTTTCTATGTGCAAAAAAGCACTGCCCTGTGCACATGAAGTTTAATTAGTAACTGAATGTGATTTGAGCTGGGCTTTCAAAGCAGATTTGTGCAACTGATCAGTGGAAAGAAAGAGACCAGAGTGAAGTACAATGTTTTACTAGCATATCTACCTATATGAGATGGAAGTTTTTAAATCTCATGCTGGTCACATAGCTTTTGACAGTAGCTGGCACAGTTTTCTGACCTATAAGTAGTCCTTAAAAAGGAAATATGTCTGTTCAATGACCACATAGTAGAGGCATGAAAAGTAAAAATATGATGGAACTCCTTAGAAATACTGGGAGCAAACACAAACAAGTCACTGCCAATTTGACTTTCCTCTGCCCAATTCATGTAGCATAAACTTTGCTTCAGTTTCTATACATAAATTCTCACACATTTTTTATTTCAGAAGTCACAAGGGTCCAAATATTTAGCAAAAATTAACATACAGATGGAAAAATAATGCAGTTCTGTTTCATTACCTGCATGAACTAGACTTCTCTCATCAAAATGCCTTAACCAATGCTCAACTGTAACAGACCCAGGGATTAACCTTTTCTCTCTGAAACTCTCTGGGGATTTCATGGACTATGAATAAACAAGAACAAACCAAAAGTGCCTGCATGACCATTTCTCCTTTTGAAGAACAGGATTTAAAAATATTAAAAGGGGGGACTACAAACTATTTAAAGGTGTATAAAGATGAATTGTCACTCATAGAAGATTTCAAGAGAGGCAATTCACACCAGTGTCTCAGGGAGTCTGAGGATTCAAATAAGGCCTCGTGGAAAATACTAAAAATGGCCTCACTAATGATCTCATACAGAGTAAGTCTATACTCTATGATCAAAATATGAACCTCCATAAGATCAGCATAAATAACCTTACCCATCCCAGTGGTTAATCTTCATCTGAACCAAGTGATCGATCATTGGCTGTGTATACTCAGGAAATCCAGCAATATATACACTAAAGAGACAAAACAGATGCCTAAATTTACCAACAGAAAGAGACACTGATATATTTTAAAGAGCTGAACTACTACTCTTCTAAACAATGCATCATAGTTATCCCCTTGCACTATACCTGTTCTGACCTACAAACAAATTCAGAACCAATAACAACAACAACAATTTTATAACTTTATTCTTATATCCTGCCACCATCTCCCCAAAGGGATTTGGGGCGGCTTACATGTGAACCAAGCCTAACAGAAACAGAGATAAAATATAGTACAAATTAAAATACTTTGCATTTCGATAATTAAAACAATAAAACTAAACAACAGACAACATAAAAACGTAAGAACAGTAACCATCAACCAATAGCTGAGAACAGTGGCTGTGTTCAGATCTAGGAGGCTGGGGCAAGGGCTAGTGCAATACAGCTATAAGGTAATTAAGTGCTAGAAGGCACTATCTTGTTTGTGACTTAGGGACTGTTTGTATATTAAACATTACTGGATATTTGCATAATCAAGTGAAAAAATCTTAACCAGTTTCCAAATCTTCTCTTCTTAGTATCCCTCATTTTATCTGTAACCGATTCAATTCTGCTTCCCACTCACCTCCTCACTGCAGTTATTTGTTTTGAAGTAAAAGGTTCAGTTAAAAAACCCATCTTCATTGGCCAGTATAAAGTGATTTAAACACAAACATGCTAACACAAGATAGATGTTGAGAATAGTGGGATTGATAAATACTTGGTTATTTAAATTGGGGATGTAACGGACTGAACATGCAAGGTCTTCAGTTCTACTATGTATTTGCCAACCACACTGCCAACCATGACTCAATCTGGGGGAACAGAATGGTTTTAAGAGGCAGGCAAATCATAATTACAGTAGGACAACTGTGTTTTGCCTTGGGGCTTCATCACACCCGAGCATTTATCCACTTTGATCCACTTTTAATGCTGTGACTGTCACCTGTAGAATTCTGGGGTTTGTAATTTAGGGAGGTCCAGGGCTTATCAGCATTAATGACAACAAATTAACAGACACACATATCACAATTCTAAAAAAACCTTTGTAAATCTAAAGTTACAGACCCTTCTCATAACTAAAATCTGTAGTACTAATCTGGCTTTAATTTCGCTTTTTTTTACATGTTGAAATACAGAGAGATAAATCTCAATGGAAAGAATAAACTGAAATATTCCATTTGTTGTACGAAGAAAATTGAACTATACAACACATATTTAAAGACAGGAAGAAACCTGAACAGGTTTCTTGACTTGAGTACGAAATTCTCTGTAAAATAAACTGGCATCATCCAGACTAGCCACAAGTATCATGCTGGGATTACTTGTTGGGAGAATAATTTGTGTGGCTAAACACATGCAGATCACAGAAGCAAGATAAGTGATGTCTTGTCAAGCACAAGTGTAAACCGTAAAAAATAAACAAACTAATAATCCTTTACAACAAAGCCCTAATTACCAACTTTCTCAATGAAAACCTCTGTATCTCAACACAGATCCAAACTAACAAATAATCACTTTTTTGCCATCTTGAAAAGTTGCAAAAGTAACAAATAAATCCTTTCCTGACTCACTGTGTTCCTTTGTTTTTGTTTCGCTACACAAAAGGGAATTGGGAAACTGGCTGAGTGTAGGAGGAAGGTATGCACAAAGGAAAGCGAGGAGTAAAGGGAGGGTGGAGTGGATTGGAAGAGCGTGGGCCGAGCAGTTTAAGGATGAAAGGGACAATCAAAAATTAAGATAATTCAGGAACTCAGTAGGAAAAACAAAGGGAAATCTGCTTACATCACAGATACCAGACCTGTTCCTCTATTTAAAAGCCTGCAAATTGTGAACCAACATCCATTCAGTGTATTTGGTGAAGACATTAGTCCATATTACTGCATGAAAGTCATGTCTGACCCTCATGCTGATCACACTTAAGATGTAATTAAGCTTCATAGTGACCTATACATTATATAGATTTGATTTGACAGGATTTTGGACTCCATTCCTTCAGGCTGAATGCAGAGAGAACATTTCTGGTTCTTTCAAAGAAACTCACTTCTTTGTGTGTGGTAAATTAGGACATTCAGAAAAGGGCAGTGTTAAAGCTCTCCCTGTCTCTTTCACGTGTGTTAGATTACTACGTGGAATCTAGTAAGCCCTCCTCCACATTTGCAGGAGATGTGACACAGAACTGCAATTAAAGTGGGAAAACCACAAATAAAAAATTAAATTCTTTTTTACTAGAGAGAATATATCTTTAGGAATCTCTAAGTCCTCCAGTTTGACTCTATGGTAATTTTCCAGTAATGTTTGACCACAGGTTTGTCCTGAAAGGTCAAGGGACTCTTAAAGTCCTTTATGTTTCGTTATGTTTCTTTATGGCATTGAATGTTTGCTGATATTTGTTGTAAACCACCCTGAGTTCCCTTGGGTATAGAGGGTGGGATATAAATAAAGATGACAATGACGATGATTATTACTATTATTAAGGAAAATGAATTAACTAAATTTACAAATAATCAAATCCACAAAGTTAAACTGATAAATGTGGAGGTCTGAGGGCATTTAAATATTCAGAAGCATGGGTTTGCCTTATACAATCAGCAGCCTCCCAAATTCTATCACACTGATTTTCCAATGCAGCCAGATCTGCTGTAACATAAGGCCTCTGTCCTGAATCAACTTCACTGTGAAGAACTATAAAAGGGTTATGGAATATGTAGTTGTTCTTTTGTTTGTAAAAACTGAGTTAAAAAGAAGAACTTCACCATTCACTCACTCTTCGAGAAAAGAACCAAACCATTCATATTCTTTGACATTACCCATCTAGCCATTAGCAGAAACACATAGGCAGAAACACAAAGGCATGTTAAAAAATAAAATTATCTCTATATTTATTAAACATTTAAATGATTATCTCTTACCTGATATTAAGGAAACAATTAGCTCTGTTACGAACAGCAAAATAATCAGCTGCAGTCAAAATGTCAATTCCATGTGGAAATGTACCCTATCAAAAGAAGAGAAGAAAAAAATATATGATTTTACATTAATGAACGGAAAGGTTGTACCTACCTCCCCTTGAATAAAGCTTTAACTCTTTTGAAAAAGAAAATATTGAAATGATTTCCTGAATTCCTACAGAAAAGATCTCTCTCTTGCGGTCACACACACACACACACACACACACACAGAAGCCAAAGCCAGAAATATACATGTTGCATGATATGGCTGCACAGACATGTGGTTAAGTTTCCCCCACTGAGAAGTATGATAAAAACTGAAATGCGAAGAGCCACATTTTACTCACGCATCAACTTTTTACAAACTACTTCTCATTGCAGACCAATACCAGCATTTTATGTGTTGCTTCTCACTACCAATTTAACCTGATCTGTAAATTTCTGTCAAAGTCTTTTAACCTTAATTTGCTACCCTCTCAATCCCTCTCTGGATTGGATCCTTGGGCCTCAAGATGAGCCCTCTGAGGATCAGCGGCTGTGCTATTCTGTAGGTTGATTGTGGGTTTTTTTATTGAGTCAAAAGCAAATTGAGAATATACTGCAAGTCGTTTCTGGTGTGAGAGAATTGGCTGTTTGCATGGACGTTGCCCAGGGGATGCCCAGATGTGTTACCATCATGTGTAAGGGTTCTCTCATGTCCCTGCATGGGAAGCTGAGGCTGACAGATGGGAGCTCACCCCATCTTGAAGATTCGAACCACCGACTTTTAGGTCTTCAGGTCAGCAGTTCAGCTGGCACAAGGGTTTTAACCCATTGCGCCACCGCGGTTCCTGGTTGATTGCAGTAAGCAAATACAGCCAAATACAGTTGTTAAAAAAATAAACAAGTTGAAGTTTTTAAGACACATGTAGATAACACCTCAACCTCTGAACTATTCAATCCTTCTCAGCTCTCCAAAACCCTATTCAGTTCTTCATTCTGGCTAACTGCTGTATCTCTATGACAGCTCTTTTTTATTTCTATGTCATTTCCCCCATCTAAGCCATCTTTTCCTATATGCCTTTTGTCAAAAAGTAGCCTCAGTTTTGTATCATTTCTCCCCCAAAGGTCTGCTTTCACAATATTTTCTGAGCTGTGATTGGCTGGCATCAATCTTTCATAGCAAGTATTATAAAACCTTTTATTTAAAAAAAAATAGGCACAAATATCCACAAAAATACAGAAATCAAGATATTTTTAATATGGGAAGTAAGTTTCCATAATGAAATATACAGAAAAAAAACAGGATTTTTGTGTTCATATCCACTGATATGCATTTGGAGTTCCATGAGTTTAAGGGCATTTCTACACTGTAGAAATAATTTTATTTATTTATTTATTTATTTATTACTGCGCTTGTATACCGCCGTTTCTCAGCCTACATTGGCGACTCAACGCGGTTTACAACATTACAATAATCAACAATATTCAAGATAAAAAGCATTAAAAAAGCATAAAAACACATACATAATATACAATATTGGGCCACCAATATCGAACCAATGCATCTCTTAGTTAAAAACGCAATCCAATTTCATCGTCTGTGATTACCAGTCCTTGATCGTCAGATTCGTTGCACCGTGTTAACCGAATGCTTGTTCGAACATCCATGTCTTCAGTCTTTTTCGAAACGCCACCAGCGAGGGGGCTGATCTTACCTCTATGGGGAGGGCGTTCCAAAGCCGAGGGGCTACCACAGAAAAGGCCCTGTCTCTCGTCCCCGCCAGCCGCACCTGTGAAGCAGGGCCTCCCCAAAAGATCTTAGGGTCCTGGTGGGCTGATAGGCCGAGATACGTTCGGATAGATAAGTTGGGCCAGAACCGTTTAGGGCTTTAAAGGCCAGCGCCAGCACTTTGAATTGGGCCCGGTAGCAAATCGGCAGCCAATGGAGCTGGTACAGCAGAGGAGTTGTATGCTCCCTGCGCCCTGCTCCTGTTAGTAACATGGCTGCCGCCCGTTGGACTAATTGGAGCTTCCGAGCCGTCTTCAAAGGCAACCCCACGTAGAGAGCATTGCAGTAGTCAAGACGGGATGTAACCAGAGCAGTTTGACACTACTTTAATTGACATGGCTTAATGCTATGGAATCATGGAGAGTTGCAGCTTTACAATTATTTCTCTTCCCCACTTTTATGCTATCTGTTCAGTTTTTACAGTTATAAATCCCTCTCTTTTCCCTCTGAAACAGAAGCACCCCTATGCATCCTGCCTTGCCTAGGTGCACTTCCAGCACAGAGCTCTGGAAGATCTCTGAGCTTATTTCTGTTGCTCTCTTAAATAACCCACCGAGACTCTACTATCTAGACTACAATTTCTAAATTATATGGCAAACGTGTAACAAATGGGCCAGCCTCACTTAAAGTAATAGGAGCACTGGTAAAAGAAAAAGAGGACCACAGAGGGGAAGGTCTCCTAGTACAAGAGCTATTTTTTCCCCAGTCGTAGCTATGGAACAATTGGAATATGGAACAATTGGATGATGAAACTGGATCTTGATTCTAATTATGAGACACTAACGAGATGTTTATTGATGTATGATTGATTGTTTAATATGCTCCTGTTTTAATTGTTTTTAACTATTTTAAGTTGTTCTGAGCATTGAATTTTGCCATTGTTAACTGCTTTGAGTCACCCAAGGGCTGAGAAAAGCGGTATACAAATAAAGTAAACAAACAAATAAATAAATAAATATTCCCTAATGATGGACAAATAGTCCTCAGACATGGACAGAAGCATCCCAATCATGTATGTGCATCAGTCAATCCCTTCCCCTTCTCCATAACATTTAGATGGTTTTTAAATTAGACAAGAGTGAAACTTTACAAGTTTGTTGATTCCACAAATAGCCATCGTTTCAAAAATATTATTCAGCTCCTTCCTCATAGCATTCATTCTATGCTCAGGATTAAGCATCTAGTTTTCAACTCTCAATCTCCCAATACACCTTTCATGGAAATTCACTGTGTCACTTCTAATTGCTGATATATAGGCCAGATAGCTAGTATTCTGATCAGCTAATCTGGTATTGTAGTAGTATCATATTATGGAATATTAAGTGTTTCCTGAAAGGCAATATGTCAGGTAAGCTGAAATTAGTTACCAAAATACTATGATGCTGAAACAGTTACTGGCTTTTGCACAGGTTTCAAACATTTCATTACTACTTTTGATAACCCTTTGCTCACTCCCATTAATCTGGAGTTGTACAAGTTCACAACGATATAGCGTTATCTTTAGACATGCCATCAGAAATGCTTGTGATTAGGTTCATGGTATTTTGGTGTTCTTTGTTCACATCAAGGAAAAAAAACACAGGACTGATGTATGTTTGCTGAAATATCTACTGCATTCAGAAATGTGCTTAATGGATTGCATCAAAGTGAAGAGCAGCTAAAGCATGGAGAAGTACACTGCAGAAAAGTCACATTATTTTAATCTGCCTTCACTAAAGATGCTTTAGAACAGACACCAGTGCACAAACTGATTTCATCCACAATTGCCAAAAATATAAATCACAGGCCTTTGAGACACATTTCTTATTCCAAAACCAAAATAAAATGTTTTTTTTCCCCATGAAATAGTTTGAATATGATCTCCGATTTTCACTATGTGCAAGTGGGATGGTTGACCAACCAGGCAAATGTGTTGTATCCTTCTAAAATGGCCACAATATCTACTTTAAATGAGGTAACTTGCAGCATTATGTCCTGCTTCTTCCTTGGCAAAACAGTACCTGCTGCAACCATTGCAAGTTGGCAACCCATAGAGCTATACGAATGCAAGTCCTCCCACTCTTCTGCAGAGTGTAACGTCTTAGCACAGGATTTGCTGTTTTTGTTTTTGTTTTTAAATCAGCAAGCCCTGTGTTTTATGAGAAAAACTTACAAATAAGTCAAACCGTTTACTGTGAAAATCCTAACACAAAAAATGTGGTGGCTGTTATCAAGAAGGAATACACTTTTTTTTTCTTTTTTTCCAACCAACAAATAAATGTTTAATCACCCTTCTGGTCAGAAAAAAGTTGCTTGTTGCATCATATTATAAAACAGATTAGGAAATTTAAAATGGATCAGGCACACCTATTATAATTATAAACCATTCTCTTAGGCTGCAAAGAATACTTAACACTTCTCCTAAAGGAAGAAGGTGGATCTCTAGTATTGCTGCTTCTTACAGGTTTTGTTACTGTAGCAAAATTGTCTCTTACAGTATCAAAAACTGCCCACACAGTGTCTTCAGGAGCAGGTTTATGATTTGTGAAATTCACCGCTCCTTAAATTCAGAGCTACACGCCTACAATTACTTTGGGTAGTGAGTTCCTATTCAACCAAATCTCTCATTTCCCCAACTTTCTTATTCATGTATTGCTAACTATTTTCATCCTGCCTTTCCAGTTAGCATTCAAGATAGCTACCACAATTCAAAGAAGAACCAAAAAAGCACATAACAAGCAAAATCAAAACATACACGTTGTGCCATATAATTAAGACACCAGATTTGTTCAAAACATCATGGTTGGCCTTCTGGGTACCAAAACACCAATTTCTCAAGAAACTTTGTCTTTTCCCTTCTCTTCCTAACCTGATAAATCAAACACTGCATAATATAAAGTAATTGAACAATCAAATACAGACCACACTTAGTTTTCAAACATATACCAACATGTTTACAAATAGAAGGGTACTTTCTCAATAGATATATGCATAAAAAGTAGTACAATCTGCAAACTGATGTAATTTTAAAAATATTTATTTGGACATAAAACATGCTTTTTCAATACTTTTCCATAAGAACAGCTAAGACAAAGTTGCAAGTTTGGGAGCAAAGAGCACGACCCACTCAAAATAGGATGGAATCAGAGCAGGGTGTTTACCAGATGATGAGACATTTGCGATTACTAAAATCTCTGGGGTAAGAACATCCTACACATCTGCCAGGCTTCCATTTGGGACACACCACAGCCTATCCTCCCTGCCGTGATTCAAAGGTTCCCTTCATCATCCCTTTCC